GCTTGATTCAACTGCCCATTGTCCTGCCATCATCTAAGGCGCCTAAGAAGGTCTAGTCGTTGACTGAATCGCCGTAGCCCTTCCTTCTGGCCTCCTTGCTCCGTCTCGGCACCGTTGCCGCTGCTGTTGCTACTGTTACTGCCTCACCGCGGCCGTTTTTGGCTCAGCAACTGCGGCGCCTAGTGTTGTAAACTTTGCCCGTCCCCCGCATCGTCAACAACAACAAGAGAAAAAAACATCAAACAGACAAAGGGAGGACAGGGGGGAAACAAAGTCGGTGGTTTCTAACTCCCTTTCGCGACGAACCCAGCCCGCCGGCTGCCCGCGCAACGGCAACGGCAACGGCAGCCGCAGCCGCATCTTCACCGCAAACCGTAACTGCACATCGGCAGGAAGGCCAACCTCTTCCTCAACCTCTCTCGCCTTTGAGCACCCCTGCTTTGGTCGTCTTTTCCCATCCCGTCACACTCCTTTCCTGGTTCTCATGTGGTTTCGACCGCTACATCTCGACACCGTTACGACTCTACACCTCCTACAGTTTCTTCCAGCCTAGGGGGGGCAGTCCAATTGACTCGGTCTGTTTCCTTTCCCTTGGTTACTCGGTCCGCCGGGGAGAATATGCAGTCGGTCATCACATAACACGATTACGCCCGCCGGGGAACCTTCAAACCTCCACACCCACAATCAACGTCCATCGTTTCTATCACATCGCCTGACCGGTGTCGAAATCTGGCCCATCACATCGTCCGTGTGCATCGCATCTACACGTACACCTGCACACCGCACCACACCTTGCCCCTCCCCTCCCTCCTCTGCCCACTCGACAACCTTGTTGGAAATCTCGAACCTGAGCCTGGCTGGAGCTTCTTTCTGTGAGATCTCGGCCCTCTCCGCGGATTATTCCACTCTTATTTTCCACAAACCTTTTATTTTATTTTTTTATCCCCCCCCCGTCTCTACTGGTGTGTGTGTGTGAGAGAGAGAGAGAGAGAGAGAGTGAGCTCCTCTTCTCTTTCCGAGGGGTCACCCCCGACTTGTCCGTTCCCAGAAGGCGGCGGCGTGCATCGCATAACACGCACCACCGCCTAGCAGCAGCAGAAACGTCGTGGGAAAAAGAAACGCCCCTCACATCTCATCTTCAACACCGCTCGTCCTCGCCTCACAGACGCGCTCCCCAACCGTCACATTCAGCCCTGCTTGTTCTCCATCCAAACCAGCACAGCCTTTCTCCCCCAGGGTGCCCCCCTTCCCCCTTCCTTCGAACTCGTCACCAACAGGACTTGCTTGTTTTTTTCGACTGGTCTCTTGTTCTTTTTGATCAAATCTCTGTTCCTTATTGCAACGTAAAGCAAACTAATCCCCCTTCCCCTCTTTTCTCACACAATACGATTCCGAACGTCTATTCAAGGACGGGCGACCTGCAAGACAAGTCCAAGGAAAAAAAACACTAGAGTGACAGGAACCAGAGGCCCTTGCTACCCGGTATTCCTGAACGTCTCATCGTTTCTCTGCCACTCTCTCGACTCGTCACATTGGGACCTTGCTTCTTTCTGCTGCTTGCCTTCCCAGTCTTGTACCTCTACGGGAGGGGCCCCATTGGCCTACAGATATCACTCAAAACCTCATCACCCGTTTTCCCCGCTGCCTCCTTAATCGCAGCATCGTGTCCCTGTTCTTCTTGGGTGCATGGTTCGAGCGTACGTGTTGCCTCCCAGCATACTACAAGCAGCGCAGTGCCTGGCATCCGGCTACCGGTCACATTCACACAGAGAGAGAACCAGGCAACCTGCGGGTGTGTGTATGTGCGCTTGCAGCTCGTCTCTCACTCAGTCCTCTCAACTCAAAATCCGGTTCGCCCAATACAAGGCCACCAACGCCGCCAGTCTTTCGCAATATCAACCCCATCCATTTGCAGCCCTCACGCGCCTTCAGTCTCGTCAGCCCAAAACATATAATATATATTTATATCGAGGCTATTCCGTTTCGAACGGCCGGCGACCTGACGCACAGAACGCCTGCACTACTTGAACCCCCCGTCCTGAAGATCGCCACGCCCGCAGGGTCATCCACATCTAGGCCTGGCGTGTGGTCTCTGCTCTCGGTTGATCTAATCAATTTCTGTAGCAAAACCAGGCCTGCCAGCGCTCGAGCGTTTTCCACACCAGGGCCGAAGCCGAACGAGCACTACGGTAGCGGTACATGCCAAAAGTCGCTCGACCTCTTCCTTACCCTTACCCTCCTCTCTCCGAAGCCACGCTCTCCTCCCCCACTACCCTTGCCTTGCCCTCCTCTGCTCCTCTCTCTTACCCGTCTGCACCATCAAAAATAAGAAAGGGCCCCAATCTGTACTACTTCAGGTACCCAAGGGTGGTCCTCACTCCACGCCTCCACAGCTCCCCTTATCCCCCTGTCCCTAACCCATACCCTCCTCCCAGGGGGCCCTGGAAGAGTTACCTTTCTGCTCTCGCAGAGTAAAAAAGCACCACTTCTTTTCGAGTTCAATGATTATTGCTTGCCGATAATATAATACCTTCACCAGACGGCTCACGTCTTTCCTCTCATAGAGCAACGCCTCCACGATAAACCCATTTGACTGGCCTGCGGTCGTCTCCTCCCTCTCTCCCTGTAGTATAATATAACCCACACGACCACAAACCACACAACCGCAAACTGCACCTCATCCTAACTTCTCACCTTTGTTTCGTTTCTTCAGCCAACTGTTGCCTGTGTTTGGGCTCGTCTCGCGCCGGGCATATCTTCCTCGTCCTTGACCGTCCTTCGGATATCTCAACTTCCCACTCCAACATCGTCATCACACATAGCCACGCGTTTTAAAACAATAGCACCAATAACAAGAAGCTTGTCGTTCACCCGCGAGCATCTTCTCCACTGCGCACTACTCGACACTCGCCAATTTCGCGCACCAAGGTTTCTCCATCTTCGGCTCACCGTCGTCGACACTTGCAACATCCTGGCATCGCCCCGGAGTAGCATCGCCACGAGAATAGAGCCTCCGACGTCCTTCCTGGTCCTCCTACGGCACCCCCACTTGGTTGATTCTCGCGGTCCGTCTCCTTAGACCATCTGCGCAGTGGATCCTCCTTCACCTTTCGGCGACCATCTAGAGCTCTGTGCACAGCTTCCTGCGCGCGAGTCGTTGAGAAAGAAAAGAGACGAGAAGACGAGAAAGGAGCGGTAGCAAGGAAGCTGCCGGTAGAAGAGTCGAGTTTGTTTCCTTGTCATCCAGACACCCCTCGAGGCAAAAACAACGCCAGTCTGTCCATTCCTCCCACCCCAAGATCCGCTTGGTCTCCCGTACCTGAGCGCTCAGAGGTTCGACGATCGCATTGTTCCTGGTGGCCACCCATTATGCTTCTAGTCCCGGAAACTTAACACACGCCGGCCCTCGACACTTGGACTTCGAAACAAAATACACGGCAAGCCAGCCCGAACTTGGTTCACCCTTCTTATCTCATCCGCCGCCCGAAGAAGGGATTGTCCTGCAAGCAACATCAGCACTTCCCACCAGTTTGCGCTCGACCACTCGCATCAGATCCTCCAGTCAGGTGGCTAATTTTCATCGAGGACGGAGAATTTTAGTGCCTGTGCACCAGGACCCTCTTACCTTTTGGTACGTCCACACTTGTGGCTGTCTTAAGAAGGCTACTTCCCACCCGCTATGAACTCGTTCTACCCTCTGGCCCTCATCAGTTCGTCGTACCTTGGGTTATTCTTGAGCTGATCGTCTCCTACCAGCTTCACTCCCCTTACTCTCCTTCACTCCTTGCACGCACACCACTCTCTCACTCACACTCCTCACTCACCTCCACACTCTCTCAATCTGAAGAGTACCAGCTTCTCCGTCACCGCCACCCGCGCCTGTTTAATACCAACACCCCCAACCAAGCTCAGGCCTCCTGGACTACTTCTTCCTCTTTTCTCTCTCTTCCATATCATCCTTCCATCTCCCATCCCCTTTTCCAACGTTCTTGAACGCACCGTCATCTCCAACGCTTCGAACATTGCTCAACTTCGGCAACCTTGCGCTGGACGCCGCACCGTTCCTTGTCTCAAACTGCCGACCTCCTGTTTCTCGGTCCTAATTCTCCACCCTTGCCCTCGTTGTCCCTATCCGTCCTTCCTTGAACGACGATTCGGGAGTTTGCAGACGGAGAACCCGCATTGAGCGTCCCGCTTAAGCACCTTTCCGAACCAGGGTACCATAATACGCATATCAACCCACGCCACCCTTGCTTCTCCTGCTTCGGGCAACTATACCAACCCGCTCCACTCCCTCATCACCCGATAATTCAAGACATCCTCCTAATATCCTCCGTTGCGGGACTATAAGTAGTACAGCTACTGCACCAGTCCGCTTCTTGGTAATTCGACCAACACACAAACAATACCCAAAGATATGGAACTCATGGAACTCGTCGAGAACGAGCCTACCGCTCGCCCCTTCCAGTGCGACTGGCAGTCGTGCAACAAGGTGAGCCTTCCAATAAGCCACGGGGTCACTCGACCCTGCTGTGCTGCTGCCGTCGTCGGCGCGATTCTAACCTCCACATCCTGTAGAGCTTCAACAGGAAGTCGGACTTGCAGAGACACTACCGCATCCACACTAACGAGCGTCCCTACTCCTGCACGACGCCCGGCTGTGGCAAGAGCTTCATCCAACGGAGTGCTCTCACTGTCCACATCCGAACCCACACGGGAGAGAAGCCTCACCAGTGCCAGCACATTGGCTGTGGGAAGCGATTCTCTGATGTATGACCCCGTCTTCTCTCTTCCCCCCTAGTTGTGCACTGGCACGTATTGACTTGTGAGCAGTCTTCGAGTTTGGCCAGACATCGCCGCATCCACACCGGCAAACGCCCGTACAAGTGCGCCCACGATGGCTGCCTCAAGAGGTAGATTTGCGAGCCCACCGACCCTTTCCCATCCCCTGTGAGAGTTTGGCACTAACCAGACTGAACAGCTTCTGCCGCAAGACCACCATGGTCAAGCACCAAAGGCGGTCTCACCAGCGTGGCATGCACAACGGTGGCGACATCTTGGACGACTGCACCTCTGACTCCGACAGCGGCGAGTCGCCCTCGACCCCGAAGCACGCCAACATGCAATGGCCTCACCCTCAGGGTGTCATGGCCATGAACCATCCCGGCATGGGCCACGCCATGAGCCGAGCTACATCCTTCGGCGACTACACCCAGCACATGAACGGGTACCAGATGCAGCAGCAGCAGCAACAGTATGGCGCACACCGCCACAGCCTGTCCGGCGGCCCCCACGAGTTCCACGGACAGTCGGTCCACGAGCAGCAGCATCCCGCCGTCATGCTGCAGCGAACCGCCAGTATGCCTCAGCCGCCGTACTTCGTGACGGAGCAGGGTAATCCGGGTGTCGCTACCATGAACACGAACATGTACGCACAAGTGCCCCGGCAGCAACAGCAGCAGGTCGAAATTCCGTACTCTGCACCTGGTATGAACCAGTCCATCCAAAGCAGCCCGAGCAGCTTCTCGGCAGCATCGGGTAGGAGCCCATCCACTCAGGAAGGGTTTTATACTCACCAGCCTACCCAAGCAGCCACGTATGCCCTGCATCATGCCTCCCCCGTCGTCGAGCAGCAGCAGCAGCAACCGGGCATGGTCCCGTACCAGCACCAGCAGATGCAACAGCAGATCCACACTCCCCAGCCGATCCCGACGCAGGCACCGCAGCCTCCTCCCCAGCAGCACGTCAGCCAGTACGCCTCACCGACGCCCCAGACCCAGCCCGAAGAGTACTGGAACGGCGTTCCATACCAGGCACCAGTCGAGGTCGCCACCATCGGCCAGCTCCCAACCTACGGCTCAGGTGTGTACGACCCTTGGGGAGGCCCCAAGATCGAGTTCGAGGACCCTTCGATGCAGCTCCCCTCCGCGCGGATCGAGAATATGTAAAGGCCAAACGCACCGCCACTCGACGGTGGCTCACCAACTGCCACATCATCCCATGCGAAACATCCATTTCCCATCGGTGCCTGACCTTGGGTTACCGCCTGTACCACCACCGGAAATCATGACGGCGATTTGATTTTCATATTCCCCCACCACGTTGAGCGAAAGAGAAGGAGATACCACACGGGCCTCACAGAACCGAGGTGTCGATTGTTAAAGAGAGCGCAATTCCCACCTGCAGATGGCCTCGGAAATCCCAATCGACACCCACCTGTCATTCATCCTTTCTTTTGGCATTTGACCGGAAAGAGAAAAAAAAAGAAGAAAAAGGAAACAGAACAGGTTCAAACCAAACCCCAAAAGCATACAATCATTGGTGGTAATTTGTCTTTTTGCGCGCGTGGGGTTTCAACACTTGTTGTACCCAGCAACCACCCCCCGGCATATCCTCATCTTGCCGTGTAATCGTCAATACATCGACGAAGAGGACGAGAAGCAAGCACGTTGCGTGCTGCGCGCTCACTGGGCTACTAGACCCTGTCATCTCGATACCTACCTCGGCTTTGCGTCGGAGCCCTCTGCCTCTAGGCACCATTTTCTTTGTCAAGCATATACGGTTACCCTGATCGACGTCAAAGATCCGTATGTTGTTCTGTTTTACCGGTTGCATCGCTAGATTGCCCCTTATTGTTGCTTTCGAGTTAATATTTTGTGTCTTTGTTGATCGGTCTGGTTGTCTGCTCGGGGAATCTTGTTTTATGGAGCTCGGCTCGGCGCGGCGGCGGTTTGCTGTCTTATTTAATATTCTCTCTTCCATATTTTTTCCTCAGTCCTTTTTCACGAGTAAGGTACCCAGGTGTCGACCATGTCGGAAACAGCGCTCCCCTCGATGACATGATGCAATGAGAGCATAACAACCGGAGCTGGGTGGGCAGATGGAGGAGGGAAGAAACTGGAAATCATTTTACGCTATCCGAACATGACGCCCCTTTACGATCGGGGAGGAGGAAGGAGGAATGAAGCGAAGGGCGATAATGAGGATGGGAAAGGGTGGAACAGGAACAAAAGAAACCGTCAACAATGCCTTACACACGACAGGCTCGATCGGGTTCCGGGGCAGCTCTTGTCTGTTTTTGGTGTTATTCTTCATGCCTCGCGGCGCCGGAAAACAAAACATTTCCTGTAACAACAGTACGAAGCCGACGATTTCTCTGTCTGGAGGCGTATTCCCCTAGACCAGTGTGTTCCTCAGGGTGGTGGATGGCGACGGAGGAACAGCCAAAAGGGAGGAGGGCGATGATGGAGAAGGGGGCAGGGCAGGCAGGAGAAGGGAGGATTCGTTGTCTATATGTAATTTTAGTGTCCCCTTTATTTTGCGTCGGAATGTTTAAATGGTCATGGGAAACAATTGGGATAGTTGCGGAAATCGATACCTTGTCAGTCAGAAGGAAAATAAAGACCAGTTAATCGAACCTGACGGAACCTCGCAAGTTGATGAGAATGAGATCGAGACTGAGTATGAAAAAAGTACGTGCAAAGGGTGAGATTTGTCGGTTTTGGCCCGATGGGTCGCAGCTAAGATGAGGGGGGGGCCGCGTGACGGGAAGCTGAAATTAGTCTCTATGAGATGAGTCGTTGGCGCAGGTTTCGCCGAGACGGGGACTTGGCCACGTCTTCGTGCAGCATCAGTGTTCAAAGGCTGCGGCGTGTAATTCTTTTTCGCCTTCGGTGAAGGATACGCAGAGTGGGTATGTTTTGAGGTGCGACTGAGAGTGCTGGCAGTCGTTCGTGATATCTCCGTACACTTGGCAATGGCCGAGGTACTCGGAGGGGGGTCTGGAAGGGGTAGCGCTGGACGAGTCGGTTTGTCGCTTTCTCGCTTTCTGCTGAATATTGCTGTTCTATCGATTCGAAAGCTCTGTATTGGGTTTGCGAACTTGACGGTCGTTGTACGAAGCCGTTTCGCAAGTTTTGCAACCCGGCGTTTGTATGAATGAGGCGGCTCGAGGGCGCTTGGTGCGGACATCAGGAGGGTAAGCTTGGGGCTGTTCAGAGATGCGGATGAGCCTCTAAGCACTTTCGGCGTGGTCGTTCTCATCCGAGTGAGTCGTTTGTGAGTTTGGCGACAGCCTCGCAAAATGCCGAAAGCTGACATGAGTATGTGTGAGACGGTCGATGAGACGCTTGAGCCGGAGGCTTTGAAGATAGCACGCGCGAGCCCCATGATGAGAGACAATGAGGCAGAATAGCCCGAGAGGGAGAGGAGAGCCTTGGAGATAACGACGGCGGGGATACGGGCGCGTAATCAAATTGAAGGACCTGCCTGATTCGAATGATATGCAATATCTGGCTGAATGTGGAAGAATGCAGCCATCACATTCCTCGGCTTGGTGATGTTGCTGCGCGTTCTGGGTGGGTTGAAGGAGGTAATTATGCTATTGGCTGGAATTTTAACCAATAAGAGGCCGCCCTTACAAGATCGAAGCGCCGCCATCTGCAACTTGGAGGAAAATCGAGGCAAGAATATCTCGAGTAAAAGGTTGAAAGGACAAAGCCTCTCACAAAATAGTTTTGGAAAAATCTGTTCATCTTGGTTCACCTCAAGACCGGTTTGCCAAAAACTCTCGAAACGAGATTCAAGTTGGGTTGAGAAGCGAATATCAGCCAATGACATGAGGTCAGAATAGGCCCCCTGTCTGTCTCACACCTTAGTGCCATTCGCCGGATCGGCATTTCTATACCACCGGGCACATTCTAGAATGCCTCGACGTCACGTGGACTCTGGGATTTGCTTAGTAGTTGCACTGCTCCTCCCCCCGGTCACGGCCTTTTCGGAGCAGGGAAAACTCGGAAGGCAGCACCGCCTGTCGTGGTCATTGAATAACGTCAACTAGCGCATTTCGCCTCAACGTATCCGTATCCGTCGCCCCGTCGCCTCTCAACAAGACGACAGGTATCCGACGGTGGGTCATGTCAGCTTCATCTCAACTACAACCACGACGTCGATAGCAGTTGAAGAAGCTTTTTTCCTTTATTCGGAAGGGATTTTCCCTATACGAACTTTGTTTTTTCCTTTCCCAATCCATCATACTGTACCAACAAACGGCAGAAGTGTCCCCTCTGACGACACGCGCCTGAGAATCGACCCCCTCCGGCCACCCCGAAGGCAGAATGGCCTTACGCCCAGCAGCGCTGGCGCTGAGCGCGACCAGCCCGCTGCTTCGGCGGGCTGTGATGCAGCCCGCAGTGATGCAATCGGTCTTCCGGCTTGCGACTGCTTCCGCCTCGTCCGCTCGCCCGGTCGTCCCCTTCACGAGAACTCCCGGCCTGGGACTCGCCCTTCAGCAACACCAACAACGCCTCTTCGGAACGAACCAACCCATCTCGCGCAACCTCCTCGCTAGCCGGGAGGCTGCGGCCAACAGGAACCCCGGCAGCGCGACCGCACAGAACGCATTCTACCAGCTTCTCCTCAAGGCCAACATGCCCGCCATCGTCATCGAGCGCTACAACTCCGGCCGATTCGCGAGGAACGAGGCAGTGGACCAGGCATACGCGCAGGCAGTTGGAATGCAGAGCACGGCGGCTGTTGGAGGTCTCGGAGGTCACGACCACCTACCCTCCGCCTTTGGCAACGTCGGCGCTGTTGGCGGCCAAGAGCTGAACCAGCAGTCCCCGGGCAATCTGTCCCAGGCTCAGCTGCAGGCTGTCGGTCAGGCACTTGCCGCGAGATCGCGCGATTCGAACATGGCTACTGCAAAGGTTCAAGGCAACGGACAGACCGGGCCGCTCCACGTCGTCGTGGACGAGTCGTTTGGTGGCATCGTCTTCCGCTGGGTCAAGTTTGTCCTTTGGTTCTGTCTCTTTACGTATCTCAGCTTGGTTGTCGTCACGATGCTGGTCGAGGGTCTGAACCTCTTCAAGCGACCCGGCGGCAAGGTCGACAGCGAAGCCAAGGCCGAGAACCAGACTACCCGATTCGCAGACGTGCACGGCGCCGACGAGGCCAAGGACGAGCTCCAGGAGCTGGTGGACTTCCTGCGCAACCCGGACAAGTTCTCTACTCTCGGCGGAAAGCTCCCCAAGGGTATTCTCATGGTCGGACCCCCCGGTACTGGTAAAACTTTACTGGCCCGCGCCGTCGCAGGTGAGGCTGGCGTACCGTTCTTCTACATGTCTGGCAGTGAGTTCGACGAGGTCTACGTTGGTGTTGGTGCCAAGCGTGTCCGCGATCTCTTTGCATCCGCCAAGTCCAAGTCTCCCGCCATCATCTTCATCGACGAGCTCGACGCTATCGGTGGACGCCGTAACACCAGGGATGCCGCCTACCACAAGCAGACGCTCAACCAGCTGTTGACGGAATTGGATGGTTTCGAGCAGAACAGTGGTGTTGTCATCATCGCCGCGACCAACTTTCCGGAACTCCTTGACAAGGCCCTTACTCGACCGGGACGTTTCGACCGCCACGTTACTGTTCCCCTGCCCGATGTCCGCGGCCGTATCGAAATCCTCAAGTACCACGCCAAGAAGATCAAGGCTGCCCCTGAGATCAACTTCGAGGCCATTGCTTCCAGCACTGGAGGTCTCTCTGGCGCCGAGCTCGAGAACATTGTGAACCAGGCTGCTGTTCGCGCTAGCAGACTCAAGGCTGCCGCTGTCAGCATGACGGATTTCGAGTGGGCCAAGGACAAGGTCATCATGGGTGCTGAACGCAAGAGCATGGTCATTGGCGAGAAGGAGAAGGAGATGACGGCTTACCACGAGGCCGGCCACGCTCTTGTGTCCTTCTACCACGAGAGCGGCCCAAATAAGCTCTACAAGGTTACGATTTTGCCTCGAGGCCAAAGTCTTGGACACACCGCCCACCTCCCCGAGATGGATAAGTACTCGTACACGACAAGGGATTTGAAGAGTCTCATTGAGACTTCTCTGGGTGGAAAGCTTGCTGAGGAGCTGGTCTATGGCACCGACAAGGTGACAACCGGTGTCTCCAGCGTAAGTTGACTGATATCCGACTTTGACCGACGTTACTAACTTTACTCAGGATCTCAAGAACGCTACCAACCTGGCCTACCAGATGGTCGCTCTCTATGGCATGTCTGCCAAGCTTGGCCCCGTGGAGTACGGCGAGCGTTACAACCAGCTCAGCGGAGAGACCAAGGCCCTCATCGAGTCGGAGGTGCAGCGTACTCTGACTGAGTCGTACGAGAAGGTCCGCGAGCTGCTCACGAAGAAGCGCAAGGAGCTTGATCTCCTCGCTAAGGCTCTTGTCGAGTACGAGACCTTGGACAAGAATGAGGTGGAAAAGGTTATCCGCGGCGAGAAGCTTCCTGGTCGTACACCTATGCCCAAGGGCCCGATGAAAGTGCCTGCGGGTGCCGCTGCCAACATTGGCCAGACGATGCCGCCGCCATTCCCTCCCCCCCCTGGGGCTGGTGAAGGCACTGCCGCGCCGCCTCCCTCACCGCCACCACCTGCGTCTACGGAAGGCATCGCTCCTGGATCAAACCAGAAGTCATGATGAGAAACCACCATGAGTGGCTCCGCAAAGAGCCACTTTATACATACATTCCTTTTCCGGTTAGCATGCAAGAGTGCGGAAGCCGGGTTGCGACCGGAGTGAAAGGCACTCGTATTATCCTACTTGTATCATTTCATTGGTACAGCATGGCAGGCGTTTCAGCGACTCGAAGAAGAAAGTGCGAATTTCCCTGCTTTGAACAAATGGAGGCAGACAACGCGGGCAGGCTGAGGCGGAGCACAGTTTTTGGGCGACTTTCTCGGCCCGAAAATCGGAAGAAGCAGAAGGGTCCAACAAACCACTGCCCACAAACAACACTCCCCTCTCACCCGAAGCTTTGATACGTCCCGCGGATGGGGCGTCGGCGTCGGGCATAGATCGGTTAGCTATTGATTAAAGGGATATGGACAACCACATGGGTTGGTATTCCTATATAGTAGAGAGAGCGCACGATTCCCTCAGCGAATTGGCAGCGGCTTCACTCGAATAGGTGTATTATTTCGTTTGTAGGAATATGTAACTGATGCATGGCCCACGTCTTCATTTTTCTCTTGCCATGTAATGATTTGTTTACATTCTTTGATACTCCTGAGAAAGAATCGCCCACGTATAATTGTGGATACCAACCCCGGTGACCATTCGGCGATGGAATTGTCTTATCTCGACCCCTTTCGGTGATGTGCGCCGCTTGCCGGACTATGTCAGCCGCCGGTTATCGCCATTAAAGTCCGGCTCCCTGCCGTGGAGCGGGCCGGTTGCGAGCTCGGCGGGACAAAGAGCCGAGGAGTGGCCACCTAGATTGATGGCATATGAATGGCTGGAATGACGTGATGACGCCAGTTGGTGTAAGCGTAACCTCCCACCCAGTGACCCAGCACCTAAATGGTGCGCGGGGAGGTAAGGTGGGTGGGGCATTTGGGGGCAGTTGTTTATCATGCAATGGAGGGGTAAAGTGACGGCCTGTTACATAGGTCGTGGAGGGGTCGAACCGTAAGGGAGATAAATAGGGCGAGACTCCAGCTTTGTAGTTTCCATTGAGACGCAATCAATCCAGTCCTTCCTAACTGCTTAGACAAAATTTGCTCTCAGAAACAAGATTTGGATTGAAAACACTTCACATAGCAATTGCAAACACATTAAGAGACAAAATGACCAAGATCTTGCTCACTGGTGAGTGAGAACACGACCCTGGCTTTCACTTCAATGTCGGTTGAGGAAACACCGACAGCATCATCACTTTTCAGTTTATGGAGACACTGCAATGGGCAACTCATCGAGCACGGAAAGCTAACTCTAGACAGGCGGCTCCGGTTTCATCGCCGCGCACATCTTGGAGCAGCTCCTCGCGGGTGGCCACTCGGTCGTCACGACCGTCCGATCCGAGGACAAGGCCCAGAAGATCCGCGACGCGCACAAGGAGCTCGACGCCTCGCGCCTCACCATCGCCATCGTCCCGGACATTGCGCGCGAGGACGCCTTTGACGAGGTCGTCAAGACGCCCGGCCTCGAGGCGGTGCTGCACACGGCCAGTCCGTTCCACTTCAACTGGACGGACCCTAAGAAGGAGCTCATTGACCCGGCCGTCGTCGGCACCACGGCCATCTTGAAGGCGCTCAAGAGGGATGCGCCCGGCGTGAAGAGGGTCGTCGTGACGTCGTCCTTTGCTTCCATAATCGACGAGGCAAAGCTCGAGGACCCGAACACGGTGTTTACGGAGAAGCACTGGAACCCCGTGACGGTGGAAGACATCAACAGGAGCCCCGCGACGGCGTACCGCGCGTCCAAGAAGCTGGCCGAGAAGGCCGCCTGGGACTTTGTCGAGAAGGAGAAGCCGGGCTTCGACTTGGTGACGGTGACGCCGCCGTTGGTGCTGGGCCCCGTCGTGCACCACTTTGCGGACCTGAACAGCATCAACACGTCCAACGAGCGGGTCGTGGACCTGGTCAAGGGCAAGTGGAAGGACGCCGTCGCCCCGACGGGCGCGGCGTACCTGTGGATCGACGTGCGGGACCTCGCGCTGGCGCACATCCTGGCGCTGGAGAAGCCCGAGGCCGGCGGCAAGAGGCTCTTCACGACAGCGGGCTGGTTCAGCAACGCCGAGATCGCGGCCGTCGTGAGGAAGAACTTCCCCGAGCTGAAGGACAGGTTGCCGGTGGAGGGGACCAAGGGCGGGGAGCTGCCGCCCAAGGGTAAGGTGTACGGGTACGACGACAGCGAGACGGCCAAGATCCTGGGGATCAAGTGGAAGACCCTGGATGAGAGCATCACGGACTTGGTCAAGGATATCAAGGGGTTTGGCATCTAAAAGTTGCGCCTTGCGGGTGACGCTTAGGTCGAAACTCGGGAGCCGAACGATTTTGACAACACAAACTTCAAGACTCTGAGAAGACTGTAATTCCAGAGGTATTTCAAATAATTATCTTTGGGTCGCGAGGAACCTGCGATATTGTTTGTGTAGTACATAAGGACATGCGTGAGGTCCGTGGGTGAGATAGCATGTTTAGGGGAGCCGAGATGCAATGAAAGGTACTTAACGATAGTCATGGACTTGATGAAACATTAACCTGAAGAAGAAATACGAGTTTAAGCAAGAAACAAATGCAATGCTGGTATGGTATTTTTTATTTGTTTCTTTTGGGGATCTACATCTGATGGAGCTTGTCTCATGAAGCCGGGTCTTCCGATAACACGGGTTCGAATGAGACCAAGTGGCAGAGCCATTGTTATAATACGCGGGTGACGTGATTTCAGAGATTTTTTGGATCAGCGGATACCTTTCGTTATCTTTCATGGAGAAGAAGCCTAGACTCGATGTTGAGTACCATGGCCGTATGAGATCCACAGGGTCGGTCTGCCTATCCCATTCCAAATTGGAGTTCTCGTTCAAATATTGCCGCCCAGACATACCTCCTAAGAAGGATTACATGAGCGAATAGAAGAAATAAAGCAAGCATTAGCACTCCTCCGCCTGCCTGTAATGGCAAATATCAATATGGAACCATCATACATCTCTGATCTCTTGATCCCACTCGTACTGAAAGTTCCAACAAAGCACCACATGGTAGCTTTGGTCTGACTGAAAAGTTGAATGGGCAAAAGATGTGCTGCTGATAAGGTTATCCTCGTGAATCGGCCCCTATAGCTGTTCTCCCTGAAGAACTGACTGTGGCAAACGTATGGTTTAGCGTGGTGCCATGGGCATTAAGGACGTTGTGAACACATGACAAAGGAGGAAACCCCGAGTCTTACTCCTCGTCGAGTATCATACAATCTTGGCAAACTAGTACATGGATGTTTCTTCACAGTCCGCGAACACATCTGTTTCGTCTTGTTGGACCTGGATGTTGAGCACCCAACCTAGCAGACTTCACAACCACCGAACTCCATATTCCAAATATGAATAAGTCTATTGGCAAAACCTAACAACAATCCCGACCAAAAAGCCTCGATATATCGACACCCCTTACAAGGCAGCATTGACCCCCCAGCTTCCAAGATCAGGCCACCCACCACCACCCCCGTACCCAAACGCATCGTGGTTCAACACCCCCCTCCGTCCCGTCCCGCCCGGCCCGTTCCGATTATGCTCTTCACACAACGTCGGGTCCGGCGCGCGGGAGTCGACGCCGTTCGTACAGCCCGGCCGTCGACACTTTGCATGCGCCTGGCAGAAGCTCGAGTTCTCGGCGGGCCTCTCGGTGCATCCCTCCTGGCAACATGCGTGGGCCCGACAGTACGGCGACAGGGGCCAGTTGATGCCTCCCACCATGTCGGCGCCGCCAAACAACATCATGGTCTGCGAGAGGACCATGCGTACGCGCAGCTGCGGGCAGCCTATGACGGCGCACTTGTGGTCGGCGCAGTGCTCGCCGAACTGGTAGCGCTCGTTGTTACAGGTACGATGGGCGCAGATGTGATTTACGCAGAGGGGCGCCCCGTCGATGACGCGGGCGTCGCAATCTGGCCTGCGGCAACGGGTCTGCAAGTCTGGATACCGCGTTAGATGCTGTTTAGACCAAGCATCCCCGGTGACCGCCACGAGGCTCATGGGGAGACGGAATACTTACGCTCCTCGCACATCTCCTTCACGTTCTCTCCGTCAACGAACCGGAACCGGTCACACCCAGGGGTCGCGCAAACCCGATGCTTGGCACAATAGTGCTCAAACTCGCCTTTCAGCTCGCACCCAAGCCTCGCGCACTGGTGCCGGGGACAAAACTCCCCCAACCACCGCCGATGCCAGCAGTCCCTGATCTCACACTCGTGGTTCTTGCAGTACCGCGACCTCTCTGTCCGGTGCGTGCGGGGCCTCATGCAGCCCGCCTCCTCACATACGTGCGCCACGCAAACGTCCTCGGTGCCGGGGGCCCTCTCAGCGTCACACCCGCCCTCGAACCGGCAAAAGTGCACGCCGCAGTGGCGCGAGGGGACGCCCTGGTCGTTGAGGTGGGCGAAGCGCCGACAGCCTCCGGTCGCGCACATGCGGTGGCGGTCGCAGTAGCGGGAGGGGTCGTGGGCGTCTCCCGATGCGCCGGGCGGCGGGCAAGGCAGGCCGGGGAGGCGCAGGTGTGGGAAGCGCAGAAGGGGGAGGGGGCAGATTTGGGGTTTGCGCAGTCGGCATGGTCGCACCGGTGTTCTGGGCAGTATCTGTAGTCGATGCCGTTGGGGTGGTTGCGCTCGTTGGCGCATCCTGGGTTGAAGCAGTTATCTTGAAGGTGTTAGTTGTCTTTGGGAGCTGATGTGGAAAAGATGAAAGCGCCAAGTAACAGCAAGCGAATGGGAAGACGCGATGGGTTGCTGGAGACGTACGATACTGCGAACAAAACTTGAAATCTTTCGGATCATAGTTCTTGATGTAGTTGGTGCACCGCTGGTCGTTGATCGAGCCCGTACATACAAGATCTGTACATATAAATTCAGTTAAGAACCAAAGGGTGTAATACGGATCCGGGGGCCGCATACGCTGCTGGCAGTATCCCCTATTATTAGTCCTCATGTTCAAGCACGCAGCGTTGTTGTCAATCTTCTTGCAGCAGTGAAGCTTGCAGAAGCGGGACCCGAAACGGGCGCCATCCTTGATCAACGTGACTCTGGAATAGGGGCAACGGCCCATGGGCGTCGCGTAGCTGCAGAGCCTCTCCAGCTCTTGAGGGTGAGACGTCTTCTCCTGTTCATGTTGAGTGCTCGGGTGTGGTGATATCAGAGGCAGTTTCCAGTGGACTGTCATGAGTCTCTAGTCAAAAGACGGAGTCAAGGACATCGGTTCAATCTCGTGAGAATGAATGAAAGAGTGAAGCGAGGGCTCCTGGGGAAGATGGTGGCTTTTGGGAATATGCTGTGGGCGGATCTGGAGACCTCTCTCAATAGCGAGAAAAGTCGGTGAGCAGCCAGCCGTATGGCAGATTAAGGCAGAATCAATGATTAGATTTAGGTTTGAATAGTGCGAGTTACGACGGTGAATGCAAACATAGATGACGTGGTAGGGCGGTGCTCAAGGTAGGACGAGGACGGAGAGCTCATGTGAGGCCCCGGTCAAGACCCGATTAGGCGCTCTTTGAACGGGTCCTCTTGACTTGTGAGTTTCGAGGGGAGATAAAGGTATCTATCAGGTAACACGAGACCTTGAGGCAAGTTGATGTGTGTTTGGCCATGTTGCCGAGGAGCGGTGTGCCTACAATAGTTGCACAGAGGAAGTTGATACCCGTCTTTGGGTTCAACAGCCAAGTAATTTCGGAGGAAGTATGAGGCACACCATCTTAGCCTCGAAAAAATAGGATAAGAAAGTTGGGGACTATTGGGGTGGGTATGCACTATGGAACACCTGATGGGAAGCGAGAAGGGACGGTGTAAACGACAAGCATCACTGAGGAGGAGACGATGATCTCGCTCCTTACAAAAAAGAAGATTTAAATTCGGGCAGAAATCTCAACAAATGAATAATAGGGAGCAAATAGGATGTTCCTGAACTGATGGAGGAAGGCGGCAGCTGGCGAGGGCCAGACGCGGACAGTCAGGGTTGTAGGCCACAGGGACAAGTCAGAGAGGGGACGACATCATCCTCAGACGTTCTGGGTCTATGGAGCCTTGCCTTCTGTTCCGCAACGAACTGTGATAATGGTTTTTTTTGATCATTGTGTCGGGCAGTCATGACGTCGTAAGTCGCCTTTTCCCTGGATTTTGGAAGGATGGCATTTGCATTAAGCGCGTAGAGCTATGAGAATGGTTAAGCCAAGCTCCAAAAGATTGACTTCAAAAAATTCTTCCATGATTTGAAGGGTTACCGCGGGATACCTGGCTAGAGACATGACTATAAGGTGTTTGACGATCCGCGCCATGGATCGATGCACTTGGTGTTCGGAGCGTCTCTTGCTTGCATGGACGTAGACAGCAGACCTCGATCGCAGGATAGTCACATAAGATATCTCACCTGGCAACGCACAGGGCCGCTGTCCTTACCTTTCTTCACCTCTGGAATGCAAAATCCCAGAAAGAACCCCTATCCAATCTTTCTTTCGCCTTTTCCCCCCATCAGCCAGCTCAAGCAACCTCAAGCCAATCTCGGCCGCACTTACTACACTGTCTGCCCTCCCGTCTCCCGGCCTCGACGGGCGGGAGACCCCACCACGATCCACATCGACACAAAAACAACCACAATCCCGGTAAAAATGCGCGATATAATCACATTTGCGCAGTAACTCAGCAACGACCCACGATCCAGGAACACATTCCGGATTCACAGTCATCAAGCGCCGATGGTTTAGTGGTAAAATTCTCCGTTGCCATCAAGCAGCGTCGGGGAGCCGGGGTTCGATTCCCCCTCGGCGCAATTCTTTTGCTTTTTGGTCTGGGAGGGACTACTTAGTGGTGGTTTTTTTGTTATGTTTGTTGCCTGTCGTCGATGTGTAGAACCCAAGGTTTGTTTCGTGAGCCGAGTTGGATGGCGGTCGCAGACTGCTTCAGATGAACAAGTGATGGATGGGAATAGTAGCACACTGAGCCATGTTCACGTGGCATGAAAAGCCGGTATGACGTTCGACCCTGCCTACGGATTCGTCAGAAACCCACGTTGGATGATGACATATTGTCAAGGTCAACAGCACTCCAAGTGCCGACATCATGTACGTAGAACGGCCACTGCCATGTTCATTCGCGTCGATATCTATCCCCAGAATCCTTCCCTCTCTAAGACGGACTAATCGAATAGAGCTTCCCACTGCATAGCAGAGGCGTGTTTAAGCCTCATGCTCTCCCTGTCGTGTTGAAAACTGGTCGGAAACTGGGTATGCTATTTCCCCTCCCTGGTACGCTATGCCATGCAAGATAGTCTGGTCTTTTCCCCGTACTGTGGAACCGCAGATGTTTGTTCTCTAAGCCGAGTCGCCGCCCTCCGACCCCTCCGAGTTGTCGACCCCGCCATTGACAGCCTCGGCATCGGTGGTCGTGAGGCCCTTTCTGATGGCGAGGACGTTGTCTACGATGACTGCATCGATGCCCTCCTTCACTTGACGCTGCAAAATGATGAGTATTGGTCGCCATCCAACGGAAGAGTAGGGGCACTTACTTGAACCATGATGGGGTTGTTGTTCAACGTTCCGTAACTGACACAGAGGAGACCACTCTCCTTGACGACTCTTACCAGCCGGGGCTGTTGATGAGCGGCTCGGCGGCGCTGACGATTCCAATCAAGTTCCAGCGACTGGCAAATCGGATGGCCTCCTGCAGGGAGGACGCTCTGATGTCGCCGACGGGGGAGGTGCCCGCATCAGTCAAGAACATGATGGGGATCGACGGCTGCTTGAAACTCAAGCAAAGACAGATGTCAGGGTTGAAAGAGCTGAAGATGATGTGTCTGTTGCCTGCCAGGTCGTAGACCTTGGACAAGACCGTGTCGCAGAAGGAGTTCAGCTCGACGGCATACGTGTCCATCTCCTGCTCTTCACTCTCGTGAAGCATGGGGTACTTCATCTCAATGTTGAAGCCAATGTGCTCGGGGAGTTGCCGGAAAAGGTCTTCCAAGGTGGCGAACGGTGCCTGAATGAAATTGCCACGGGAGTTGGCCTTGTAGCCCTTGTTCTTGAAGTCACGAGTGTGCTTCATGCGCTCTTCAAGACCGCCTCCATTGAGACTGTCGCCAGCGTAGCCCATGGACAAAGATCGCTGCCTGGGACCCGGGGCGTTGTTGCGAACCTTTTCGATTCTTTCATTGACCGCATTGATACCGTTTGTGCGGTTAGAGTCGGGGTTGATGTGCAGGAATTGCTCCAAGGTCAAAGTGTGAACTGGTGCATCGATGCCGGTCTCGCTGACAAGGAAGTCGTGGTAGATAACCGGGACGTGATCCTTGGTAAGCTGCACGTCGAACTCGACATACTGGGCGCCCAGGTTGGCTGCCGCGATAAAGGAAGGCACCGTGTTTTCTCCAAGCTGAAGAGACTTGTTGCTCGTCATGTTCTTACCCATGCCGCGGTGACCAATGACCATCGTCGTGGCCAGTTTCTTCCAGTATGTCTGCTGAGAGTTGATCTCCATGTTGGGATGCGAGAAGGGGGTGACAACCAAGAAGTTGAAGTTGACAGTACCAATGACATCCAGGTTGTTCGCCAGGATTGGCACACAGACATCACCCTGGAGGTTCATGCGCTTCGTGCCCAGAGTGGGCCTGATGGAGGAGAGGAGGGCCACTCCACGTCCGATCTTGTTCTTCTCATTTCCAGAGTAAGTTGGAACAATGTCGAACATCAGCTTGACTTGGGAGGGGTCTGCCGCTGTGAACACAATGGGCTCCGTGGAGACGGTTTCATGGACGGGCAAGTCAACAATGGTGGGCTCGCCCTGAGCACCACTGGCCGAGACAACAATAGACAGAGCCGTGTCGAGTTCGGTCAAATGAGCTTCGGTCAAGGGCACACGGTCGAGCTTAACGGCCTCGAGGTTCTTGCGCATATCCATAGACCCGAGGCTGACGAGCACCATGCTCTTATCGGTGAGGTAGCGATGGCCAAACGTCTTGACCGGCTCGACCGGGCGGACGTATCCATCCGACTTACGGCCATCAATCGACGAAGTGTTCTCGGGCGACGAAGAGCGGGGAGAGCTCTCGTTGGAAATCTTGAGGTTGTTCGTAGGCTGGATAATTTCAGCTTCCGCTTGGTTCGCCAGGATCCTGGCGATATCCAAGTGGCCACGCAGCGCAGCGTGTTCCTTGGCGGTCCAGCCAGATGAGTCTGCCTTAGCGACGACTGCACCAGAGTCGACAAGCAACTGAACCATCGAGAGGTGACCGTCGACAGCAGCAACGTGAAGCGGTGTCCAGGCGTAGGTGTTCTCCGCGATTTCGAGGTCGGCCCTTTGCTCATCAGTGCCCTTGATCAGGGACTTGGCAATCTCGTCGTGTCCAAAGCGGGCGGCAAGGTGCAGTGCGGTTTCACCCGTCTTGTCCTGCCAGTTGATGTCAACGCCAGCTTCAACGAGCATCTCTACGATGACCTTGTAATTGGACTTGGTGGCCATGGCGAGAACTGCGCCAGATTTGGACACCGTTCGTCTCATTTCGGCCTTTTTGACACTGACACCCTGCCAGTTCTCTCCCTGGAGAAGGGCCTTGGTCGTCAGAGGGTGTCCGCCCACAACGCTCAAGTGCAGAGGGGCGTAGCCGTCGTTGTCCTGCCATTCGGGGCATCAATGCCGTTCTCGACGTCGAACTGACCCCACTCCTGCATCTTGGCCATGATGATCTGGCAGACAACCACGAAGCCGAATCGGGCGGCATAATGAAGCGGCAGTCGTCCAAACGAGTCTCTCGCAACGAGAGCTTCTCTGTGATCAGGCTTCAGGGTGTCGAGAAGATACATGAGAGTTTGAACTGCCTCGTCGTCTTTACCGAGCAGCTTAGTCTCATTCTGATTGAGCGCCCGAGGGGCGATTGTTTGCGAGACTGCTGGCTGAAGGTCGTGAGCAGTAAACTGAGTGCCAATCGGGAAGGGGTAAGATCTCGGCTCGTTGTCAGGGTCAGAAGACTTGGTGCGACCGATGTGGATGACGAGCCTGTGAATGCAGTTTCGCTCGTTAATGTCGTCGGGCTCGTTGATAGACGGCAGCTGATCGATAAGATAGGCGATGCTAGCCCTGGACCTTGCAGCAATGGAGCGCTGCAGCAGGTTCAGAAGCAAACTCTGAGATGCCTGCTCAGAGGTCAAATTCCCCTCCTTTAAACCAGCCTTCAACGACTCGACGTCGTCGGTACGAATAGCTTGCTCCAGAGTGTCGAGCAAGCCTTGTGACAAGGTCAACATGGCCTTGGAAGACACGCGACCGAGCGACCGCACTGATCTGTCGGATTTGGAGTCGTCAATGTTGCGAGCCTCGCCCAGGGCAGAGATCCATTTGTTGATCTCCGCAAGGAGGCGCGTGCCGGTAGTGTCCTTGGCAAAGGGCAGCGGGTCGACCTTGGTTGAGATGTAGCGGTGCTGAGAGGCGGTTTCGGGGAGCTTCTTATCGAGCTTCTTTGTGATCTTGACGAAGCCCCTGCGGTTGATTTCGGCGAACCAATTGAGGTTCCTCAGCATGATGCGCATCTCATATAGAGCGCCCATGAGCTCCTCGGTCTCATCCTCGTCGAGGTTGGAGACGAGGTCGTGGATGCGGCCATATCGGTCGCGTAGGAGGTTGAGACGACGAACGGCTTCGCCAAGCTTGCGATTGTAGAAGCTGTCGACATCTTCGAGGTTGCGGTCCAGGGCAAAGAAGAATTCTGCAACATGCGGTCAGGGGATGGGCTACGCCCTCACGGTCCGGTCCAAGTCCGCCCACCTGCAAGATCCACCTTCTCTCCATCCTTGGCCGACTGCGCCGCGGCCTTGATCAGCTTCTTCAGGCCTTTGTAGTTGATGTAAAAGGCCGCCCACTCAGGGACTTGGTTGCGGGGGAGGCTGGAATTCGGGTCAGCATTTTCCTCATGAAACGGCGAGAGAATACTAAAATGATGAGTTTTCTGAGGGGGTTTCCTCAGCAGAGGGGCACGCACTTTCTGCCGAACTTCATAGTGATGGATGTCTAATTCCGGGTATCAAGGGGTGTGTGACGCTGTGGCGTTCGGTGATAGCGATGATAGTTAGGCGATACGACTGAAGAGTGCCGTAACAACAAATAAGGTGCTGACGAGGGAACAACAAGAGAGAATGAAAGAGGATAGAGCAGCTGCTTAGAGGCAGATGGGATCGAAGCCGCAATTGATCATTTTCCTCGTCTGTGATGGTTTTTTTTGGGGGGGTAGTGAGTTAGTTGTTTGGCGACGGGACTTGTGTGTAGTAGGCAAGAACGGAGCGTGGGTGAAGAGAATCCGAGGTCATCAAACCAGCAGCCCCAGGATCCAGGAAGTTGCCAGTTTTGTTTCTGTTGCGTCAAAGGGATCCAGAAATCAAGGACGGTCCAGTCACGAGAATCCCGTCGAGTTTTCCAGGACGAAGGAGCTCCACATCCAGTTCTCCATTGACCGAGGGGGGAAGTATGGCGAGCAACGGGCCAATAGTTGAATAACCTTCTCCGAGTAGCCAAAGGAGGGGAAAAAGACAAAACCGAGAGAAGATCTGGGCCTCGAGGCATTTGTCGGTGGGCTGGAGGGGGATTTTGAATGAACCAGAAATTCAGACCGACCCGACAAGTTCCCCGGCGGTGGATTGACAAGTGACGGAAGCATGCAACAGGAATAGATACATAGAAGAAAGCGAGAGGAAAGAAGAGGTGTGAGCTCATCTCACATCCACCGCGCCGCAGGGTATCTGGGGCCTTGGCATCAAGTCTCTCTGGGCCGGTCGACAAGTACCCCGCACGCGGATTGTCGCATGGAAGGGACGACCGGGAGCCGGGTCGATGACTCGAGACGCGGTCGAGGGGTACCTGGGGCCACCACCCTCGCCGCCGGCGCCAGTCCCTTCTGAACGTGACGGGCAGGAGGGGCTGGCCGCACACAGAGATATGTCTACTACCTCTGTAGGAGAGAAAAAAGAGTGACTTGGATCCCAGAAACAGCTCGAGGTGCGGCGTTATCCGGTCGGTGAAGCTAGCCACTGGGAAGCCGCCGTTGGTCGCCCGTGGAGCGCCGCCCGCTTGTGATTCGCCGATCCACCAGACAGCCTCCCCACCATGGCTTCAGCTGGACTGCCTATCCATGATCACCCCGCCGTTGGTGTAGCACGGATTTGCGAGCCATCCCATCCCGTCCTGCCTTTTGCATCTTTTTGGGGCCGCTGGTGTTCCCTTTCACGAGCGAACTTCACAGTTGCTGGTTTGTCGACTGGGCTTTTGGTCGCCCTCGGCAGATAACACGTGTATGCTTCCTCATGCTAGTCCGGCCTACCGCCGATTGCACGATCGCGATTGCCGTGTCTACCGTACAGTACCTAGTCGCCTCCGCCAGTTCTTCCCTCTCCTCTCTCCCTCTCTCGCACCCCCTTTGTTCCCACCGACTGTGCACATCCGTGGTTTCCCCCTTTCCCACCTGGAAAGCTGGGGCCGAGTCCTGGACATATCTCACATTCCCAGCATGCCGGGTCAGATGGGCGTGCCAGAATTCCAGACCGCCTCGCGGCTTGTCAGGTTGTTCGTCCTCATGACCACCCAGGGGCGGGAAGAACCCTGAAGACCAGACATCGGTCTCTGCCCGTCGAGACAGACCTTTTTTGCTGTTTTGGCAGTCCGACTATTGAATGCTGCTTCTAGAAATGCCCACCTCCTACCGTCTCTCGCGCATTGCCAATGTGAGGATCTAGCTTGCGGCCCCAGGAAATGACTTATATAGACCCACCCAGGTCCGGTTCCGCGATGCGTGTTCCAAGTTTTGGATTTTTAGGGGTCCTGTCAGCTGACCGGCCCACGAACCTCGACATCCCGGCTCCCGTTCACTTAAGCGGAATGCAGATTGATAATAGGGGAGCTCGACAAATGACTTCGGCATCTACGGATGCCCTTACGCCTGCCTGTTGCTGACCAACTGACTTGCCAGTGGCGCTGGTGATGAAAGGATAGCTGGTCGACGCGGTGGACCTTGAAAACATGGATGGAACACGAGTGACGATGTCAGGGTCCAACTGCGACCCACGGCAACGGTACGACTATGTATTGTACTGTAGTGTGGTACGCCGAACTTTGCCATCCTGCCAGAGCACATGGAGGAGAAACCAGTTTTCGCCTGAAGCAAGAGTCAACCTCTTTGCCAACTGATGGCGTTGTGGCCAAACGGGGCCCCTCCCCGCCACCCATCGATTTAGACTCTGCAGTTCCTGGATTATTTCTTCTTCCAACTTGCGGCTCATGACATCTGGTCGTCCTCCGTGCCAACTTTTCTCCTCTTTGCAAGGCTTCGGGAGCCGGCCGCTCCTCGCCTAAGCTCCCGCTTGCTACGCAAACCCAAAGACTGATGCCAACTCCCCGTTCGAATCGCAACACGCGCCCGTCCAAACCGTGTCAGTTTAGGTTTGCTCATTGGATTTTGCTTTTCCTCAGCTGTCAACTCAAGTCAGGCCCGCGCCCAATGCACCTTTTCCCACCCCTCCAAGGACTCTTGACAAACGCAATGATATCACATCCAACTATCCCAACAAAGCCAATCCCTGCGGTCGGGACGCTTGGGACCGCAACCTCTTCCTCGCCTTTTTGCAGTTTTCCCACAAAACTTGCAACTGTAGTGGTTGGATCGCACTTTCTTGGCATCCACCGCAACCCCCAAATAGTCCAGGCACAGCAGCGCTGGCGCCGCGCCCGTTTGAGCCAAGACAATCGCCCCAATCACAAAATCCGAGGGTCGTCACCCACACTTTTGCTCAGTTCTCCCCTTTTTCCCTTTTTCCCTCCTTCCCCCCTATCCAACCAGCACCCAGTCTTGTCATCGGTGTATGCAACCCTGCAGATCGCGGCCTGGTCTAGGCTCCCCCGGCCCTCTTCACCACCGCCAGCGACCCCGGGTTCTCCGTCCATGCCGGGTGGCTGTATGCCCACGTCAGCGTCATCTCCTCGCGCGACCCCATCGTGTATGCGTCCGGCAGCTCGTCCGGCAGTAACCGCGGGTTGAACATGCCCGGCCACATGTGCTCGTTTGTCTCCTTGACGTTCTTGACCATTGTCGTGATTTGCTTCTTCAGCGCCTCCACCAGCGGGCCCGTCGTGACTTCCGTGTTCTCGATCAGGTCCCGCCGCCCGCCGACGACGTCGGTCCGCACGACGTGCCGCTTGATGTTGTCCGTCACGTTCTGCGGGAGGACCCCCTTGAAAGCGCGGTCGACGTTGCGGAGATCGCACAGGTCGAGATACAGTCGCACTTTCAGAAGCGTCACGGCCATCTTGTGGCTGAGCGAGCCGAAGCGCTTCGCAAACTTGTCTACCCCTTCAAAAACGTCCTCGCCCTTGAGGTTCATGTGCGGCAGCTCCATGTCGTCCCAGTCGTAGTGGCTGTTCTCAGCCGTCGCGGCCCACCACTTCACAAAGTCATACGCCTCCTGATCCCGGCCGAGACGAAGCATCGAATGCGGCGTGTAGCTGCGGATGCTCATGTTGTCGCCGCGGCACAGCCGCAGCATGTCTAGTTGGTGATTCAATGACATCTCGATGGCGTCGATGGTGTCGATGGCCATGAGCGTCCCGATATAACCGAAGCGTGCCCGCATGTAGTCCCGCGTGTCCTTGAGGCTCCAGAACTGCCCGACCGCCATGTCCCAGGTCCAGCCCCGTTCAGACTCATTGGCGTTGCGGAGGGCGCTCTCTTCCTGGAGATACCTCTTGTAATACTCCTTGGTCTGGTTGCAGTCGTTTTTGTGCGCTTTGCGGTCCGCGATTTGGTGGTCGCGGCCACAATAGTATACGACCTGGCAGCCCGCACAGCGGGAGAGCTTGGTGCGTTTATGGCAGACGGCACACTGGCGGGGTGGCAGACTGTCAGGAGGCTGTGAAACCATGATCAATTTGCCTGCGGCTATCCAATAATTGGTGGGCGCAGATGGGTGTTGTGTTGACGGGTTTGCAGAGGGACGTGGAACATGCGATCCAAGATACGTTGGTAGTCCTCACTAAAAGAGAAAGTTTCGAGATGCACCGTGTGCCCCACGTGAGGTGGCTTGCGGAGTGGCTTGTGATGCATCAACGAGAAAGGAATAGGTCCACCCGTCACCGACTACCTTATCTTCTTCCCTTCGGTAGACGCAGAGGTTATGAAAAGAAAAGACCAGCGATGAATAGACTAGTTAAGATGGGCATTTAGAGATTGAAGGGCAGACTGTGCCAATACCCAAGGAACGGTGGGTGCGGTGGGTGCGTTAGCCAAAGGGACAGGTGAGAGCCAGTATGAAGGCGAAGGGTTGTGGAATAACCGTCTGAAGTGGGGTCGAATATCGATAGGATGGTGCTACTCTATGAAACGTCGATATTGATGATGTCTCGAGGCGCTTCATACATAACTCGTGTTCTATAGTCTAAAATACAAGCCTCTTGACGGCCGGCTTCGTTTGCCTTGGTTTAGGGTCGTCAATGGAGCATATGTAAATAACATGCCCCCATTCACAACCTCGCAGATGGTATACTACATACATACAATTCCCCACCGCTCAGAAAATCGCACTCGCCGCTACGTCTACAGCTCTGTGAGTCGAAATCCTTCTCGCCACCTCGAGGCGAGCCCAGGAGTCGGCATTGCCCCCAGTGTGCAAGGGATTCGGCTTGCTGGGACTGACCGCTCTCAGGACCATTGTTTGCACCCCTTCACTTGCCTCTGGTTCCTTAGCTTCGTTGCTGTCGCCAGCATCGGCCGCCGTCTCATTCTTGGTCTTGGGCATACGTTTCCGATGTCGTGTATGCGCAATAGATGTCCCCCATGCTTCGGGGCCTGGCCTGGGTTCGACCAAATAGCCTCGTATGGTGCATAGTTTCGTCTCAAAATGCTCCAATTTGATCCTTGACTGCTCAACCAGTCTGACTATACGGGCAATATCCATGCCTCGTCTTTGTTTTCCGGATGGCATACTCGATGAAGGAACATCTTGGAGGAACGGAACCACAGTAGCCGGCGATGATCCTTTGATGCCACAAATATCCAACAGGTTCTGAATGCGTTGCGCAAGATACGCCTGATCGCATTCTCGCCAGAAGACTGCCTTGACTAGCTTGGGCTTGCTGGCCAACGCTCCCAAGATGCCCAATGCAGCCTTGGGGTCCAGCGCGCGAACGCAGTGGTCGAGGAGTTGTGACATCGTCCGTAGACTAAACGTGAATCCAAGTTTGAGGCCAAATGCCACCGTAGCCACAGCATTCCTCAGGTAGCGGAAGCTCAACATGCCTTCAATGATGGCAGCGAAAACCTGAGTATCGAACCAAGCCCTCTCGATGACGTATTTTTTGGTGACAACGACATCTTTCAGTAGTGCCCATCTCTGGAGCTGGGGATCTTCGAGCACTTCGTCAATCAACTTTCTTCGAATCTTGATACCCCGGCAGTCTTTGCCAGTCATGCGCTCGATGACATTGTTGAAGTTACCGCTGTCGTTTGTCTCTTTGAAGTGATTCAAGAGACAAACAATTGTCCCTTGCGTTGGCTCAAGCTTGGATTGGAATAAAGACTTGACAACGTCAGATGCCAAGGGATGAAGTCCGGCCGCGTCGAACCCTTTGATCAAAGTGTTGTATGTGTGAATAGTAGGAGGTTGCGACGAGACGAGAAGGTTATGGCACACCTTCATAATTGTTGCCCGGAGATTTGAAGGCTGTGCCACTTCAAAGATGCTCCTCAGTGACTTGTTCAAGTCCGTGCTACACTTCCTGAGAGCCCCAGAGTCCACTTCCCGCTCGTAGTGAGGGTAGTTACTCTGCCTCAGCTCGACGAGCTCTTGCTGCAAGTTTTGCGTGTCGAAGTCACCATTCTTTGCCTTTTCGAGCTCTCTCCTAACCTTCTTCGTGTCACCACTTCCGATAACTGCCTTCCCGAGCAGCAAGCTGGAAACCAATTGCTGCACGTTATTCTCCGCTGCCTTCATTTGCCTCAACGTTTTCGGAGCTCGGTGCTGAAGCTTCGGCATGGCCTCATCCTCGGCAAGTAAATGATCCAGTAAAGCATAGTCGGTACTCAGAAGCGCCCTCATCGATTTCCTTGTTGGCTCGAGTCCATACTCCGTCCATATCGTTTCCAACTCAGGAGACCTTGATGGGGCCTTGGACCACGATTGTGTACGGCCGAGGGAATCGAAGAATTCGGAGATCTCGCTTTGCTGCTTCTTGTGATCCCTCAATGCGCCCTTGTATCGGTTGGCAATGCTTCCAGCTGGTGCCGACTCGCGGGTGTCGGCCGGTGCGTTTTCCATGATCTTTGCGAATTCTGCCTTGGCCTCCTCGAGTTGCCGGTCCAGGTCCTTCCGTCGTTCGTCTTTTCTCTTCGCATCCAGCACGGCCGCTGTTCCCATAATGGATGTGTAGCATGCCGTGAACATCTCGCTAAAGGTCGGCTTCCGCCGTGTCGCTCGCGTCGCCGACTGTCGCATCATGCCTCCGGCAGCATTGAAACAGGCTTTGCAGCCGCAATGGTGCGCCTGGCCCGCTCTGGACCAAAGTGCCTGCATTTCGACGGCATTCCGGCTGCGTTGGCAGCCCCGATGAGTCGAATTGGTGGGCTGGGCGGGATTGATGTCGTCGAGGTGTCGAAGTTTCGTCGCCTGGAAATTATGGTCTGATTGAATGAGCGATGTGCTAGACCGAGTTGCCGGGCTCCAAGTACAGGGGTGAGCGAAATTATTGAAATGCAATTGAGCGAGGTTGTGCCCAGAACGGAATATTCGACAAAAAGATATACCCACTTACGGAAGTGACGCAACTGCCCCTCCATACCCCCACCATTACTTTGATGTGAGCTTTGAAAGACACTACAGCTTCAAACGACTTGAATATCTATCCGCCCATAATAAACTAGAAATTTACAAGCAAGAACCGTCGAAATGTTTGCCCTCGCACTAACAGCCGAGCTCAACGGGTAAGTCCTATCGATTCCAGATCTTCAATCATAACTAACTCATCTTCAAACCCAAGGGTCACGAACCTCCGCCCTGATGACAGCGAAGGCAACCCCTTCTGGTACACTTTTAAGGTCCAGTGCACCTCATGCCGTGAAGTTCACGACAAGCCTGTTGGCGTCAGCCGTTTCGTAAGTAAATTGTGCTCTTATGACCCTGAACAGTTATTGACGCGCAACGCAAAGGACAATAACGAGATGAGTGGTAGCAGAGGCGAGGCCAACTTCGTCTGGAAGTGCAAGAACTGCAAGCGCGAGTCTTCGGCCTCCATCAAGGCTGCGCCTGCCTCCTATACGCAGGGCGAGCCTGCGAAGCAGCAGAAGCTTCTCGAGTTCGACTGTCGAGGTCTCGAGTTCACCGAGTTCATCCCTGAAGGAGAATGGCTCGCCGAGGGCGTCGATTCGGGCAGCAAGTTCTCTGCTATCGACCTTACGGATGGAGAATGGTATGACTACGATGAGAAGGCCGGAGAGGAGGTGAGCATCAAGGATCTGAAGTGGGAGATCAAACGTGCTTGAGGAGTTTGACTGGAATCCCGAGAGGTAGTATCGTATGGCGTCTGGTGTGGGGTGGTGGTGATGCGGTGTGGCGGGTGTTGCAAAATGTTGGCCTGTTTTGGGGTGTTTCTTTGCTCTTGTATCGTGACGATGGTATGCCTTGTTTGGACACGAATTCTGGCATTCACTAGTGATCATCCATGAACCGGACTTATATGTCAGCATGTATGGGTATTTAACCACTCTAAAGTAGCCTAATTCTACAAGGAGGTCTTTGCCGCCCTCTATTCCATGCATGAAATCGTCATATACGTCTTAGAGCCACCCAGCCCGCCCTTCTTCTTCCCCCCCTCTCAACGAGAGCGAGCCAGGGTCGAGGCATGTGTCTCGAAATCCTTCGTGGTCGTTCCGAGCAGACGAGCGAGTAACTCCATCTTATCTGGACCCAAGCGAGCCAGAGGTAAGCGGCAGTGCATGGAGTCCTCAGTGCTCATGCCCAGAAATCACGATACGACTGTAATTGAGCTCTATCGTGGACCCATGTCAAGTCCAACTCCAGCTGTGCTGCGTGACTGCAGACCGTTCATAGAAGGGTTTTCGGTCTGCAGCGAAAAAAGTGAACCATCTCTCGTCATCATGTGTCGTGCTGAGCTTCACAGCATGTTGTCTTGCTCCTCTTCAGGATCCGTAGTTATCATAATGGTCCTGTGTACTCAGACAAATAAAAGGCTTGTCGTCTTTTCAAAGCCTTGCCGCCTAATGTTGGCGGTCGGTGGAAACGCGTATGGCATCGGGCATGACAGTGAGCATCTGAACGTGAGTTCCCAGGGCCCTCAGCATTGCCGCTGCAAATTGGTGTACGTCTCCAGAATTCGGAATAGTATAAAAGGATTCTTCAAAGGAAGTAGTCACCAGGTCCGCGGCGGTTGGCGGGAACATGGCGCTGGTCATCAGGGACAGCGGAGAAGATGCTGAACTTGGGGTTCATGTCCTTGTCGACAGTCATGATAGATGCGACGTTGCCGCAGCGGTAGCAGTAGTTGGGAGCAGACCAAACGGTGACGACCGAGTTTTGAGGGAAGTGGTACTGGACCAAGGTTAGCAACGGCATAAAACACAATTCGTTGAACTCTAGCACGTACCTTGTAGCCCTCGTTGACAAGCTGATGAGCTCTGGCAATCAACTTGAGGCCGTTGACATGATTGAATTCGGTTGCAACCTTGTCGCCAAAGAGCCAACCGGCGCCACGAGGGCTGATAGCCCACGTCTCAACGTCTTCTGGGTCCGACCAGACAAGATCGCAGAAAGCACCCTCGTGGGGAATCTCTTGGGCACGGGCAACGACACGGATCTGGTCAATGGTACGAATCTCGGGGCTCAAGCCGCCGTGAACGCAGAGAAGCTCGCCGTCGACGATGGCGGCGAGAACCAGGAAGTCAAAAACGTGGCAGCAGGCCTTCCAGACGGAGGCATTTCCGTACTTCTGCTGGCACTCCTCATAGAATCCATAGACTTGGGTGATTTGACGAGACTCGTGGTTACCGCGGACGAGAACGATTCTGTCAGGGTACCTGGGAAGGGTTTAGTACACGAATGCAACTTGCTTCACCCAGACTTACTTGGCCTTCAAGCACATGAGAAGAGTGAACGTCTCGAGACTGAAGTAGCCGCGGTCGACGAAATCACCCAAGAAAACGAAGCGGGTCTCGGCAGATTGGGAGGTGGCGGAAACCTCGACGGCAGAATCAGCTCGGGAGGTCGCGCTGGTATCAGCGGCCGCAGCGTCGTCGTCATCATCCTCATCAGCGGGGGGGCTGCCAGAGTTCTTGACCTTCTTCCTGAGCTTGGGGTTCGTGATCTCGGTAGGAGGCTCGATATCTTCAGGGCTGATGACGGTAGTGGCAGTCTTAGGTGCCTCCACTCTGGTTTCGCCGGGCATTCCACCCGCGACGCGGAACAGCTCGAGGAGATCGTAGAACTGGCCGTGGATGTCGCCGCAGATTGTAACCGGAGTGCACACCGGCTGGATGTTAGATTCTAAAGTTCCCAAGTCAGTACATGTGAAGCCAAGCACGAAGACTGCGCGCCTTACCCTCCATGAGCACCTCCTTTACAAGCTCACAGAGCTCTTTCATAGCGCGCTCGGGCAAGTAGTGGCACTGCTTGGCTTCCTCCAGCCACTCATCCAAACCTGCGTTCGGCGAGAGGTTGGCAGGGCCGGGTCGGGGATGTGGCTCGCCATTTTGTTGATGACTTGGGTACGAACTTGGGAATTTGCCTCAACTTCGTAGGGATCGAACTCTTTGGAAACGTTTGGATTGAACTCGTTGGTCGGCTGGGCCAAATCGTACTCGAGATCGTCGGACTCGTAGTAGGCTGGATCAAATTCGTCGAACTCGTCGGCAAAATCCTCGTAGTCCAAGCTTCCACCACGGAGAGAAACGTCGAATGAGTCGTTGGCGGGGTCGTCGGATGGTCGAACAATGTGGGCGATTTGTGCGCTGCGAACCTCGGGTTCCTCAGCGTAGTAGAGCTCTTCCTCCTCGGTTGATGGCTCCTCTTTGATGGGTTCGGGGAGTGGTCGATTGCCAATCGAACCCGGAAAGACGAACGGAGGGGGGTTGGAGGAACTTGTCAGCGATGCGGACCGGGAACGGCGACTTGAGACCGCTGGGAAGGGCTCCTGCTGGTTGAAGGCGACCGGGTTCGATTGTAAGGGCGAAGGGTGCGGTGGAGTAGTGTCCTGGGCGGGGGGAGGGGCTTGAAAAGCACGGTCGGGTGCGACAGCTGTGCGGGTGCTGCTACCAGTGGGGGGCTCGGGCAGCGGCCGGGGGCTTGGGCGCTGCGGAACGACTCGACGACGAGATTCCTCCAGGAAACCTTCGAGAGTCAATTTGTCAGCGGCTTGACGTCGCAAAACTCTCTGGCGATGCTCGTCAAGAGGATTATCGTAGCCTCCAACGACGATGGGTCGGGGTCGGCTGAGGTTAGGAGCGCGGGGGCGTTCAGTGCTCAACGGGGGAAGAGTGGGGATGTAACCCGATTTGCCTGGAACTGAGATGCCTTGACGTCGGCTAGGACTGGGACTCGACGTGACAGTGAGAGAGGGAGTAGTCGGCGCGGTCGCGGCACACGTCGAGCTTTGCGCTTGAAGGTGGTTGTGATGTGCAGGTGGGAGTTGAAAAGATACTTCCGCGCTCCTGTGTCGTCCGCCTCCTGCTCCGGGTCTGCGACGAGGGCCGTTTGTCACGGGGTTATTCTGGTATTGGTTGGCGCGTCGTATCGCCGCCTGGATTTCCTCCTCACTGGGGATTTGGTAACCTGACTTCGTCGCGAGCCGGGACTTCGGGCTTCCTTCTTCTTTGGCAGCTGCTGAAGGTATTTTCGCCTGGTTGAATTCCGGAAATGTTTCCGGGTAGGCGTCGATAGGGACGTTGTCTTTGTCCTCGGAGGACTCGACTTCCTCATCCATCTTGATCTTCTGATGCTGGGTGAACCTCGGGTAAATTACAGTTTCGGACTATTATTTAACCGAGGCTGCTGATGTGAGAAGTTGTGATTTTCCGAGGTTTTTCCAGGCTGCTGTCTGGGTGGAAGAACAAACCCCAAGCCAAGGGAAGCTATCCAAAAGAGGCTAGTCCTTTATTATCAGATAAGATCCACTAAAAGACTGTTGCTCCCTGTGCGCCATTCTTTCCGATCCAGTGTGGATGTGAACCCAAAGCCCCGCGTCGCTACCTTGCCATCACATCAGTCTGAACATCTCTACCAAGACCACTGGCACGACCCTGTCATTCCGACCGCAGCAAACTCCATCTGGTCAATTTTCCTCAGACAGACATTCAATGTTTTGCACATTACTTGCTCCCAGGCCTCGCGACAGCAAACAATAACCAGACAAAGTAGCGCATCCCTCCCAGCGTCGAGCGACAAACACCTTGTGCAGCCTTGTTCCCTCCACCACACGAGCTTTTGTGCTGCGATGGCGGCGTCCGGCGCCCAGGGCGCATCCCGTAAGACAAATGGAGTCATCCCGGCCTCTGGCCAGCAGCCCGCTGCTGATGCGCCAAAGTCCAACAAGAGCCGAACTCCCATCGAAGGCGACAAAGTGATTATCCGAAGACTGCCGCCCGGCATGACGGAACAAGAGCTGTGGAATAACCTTGGCGATGAGTGGAAGGCCGGGAACGGGCTCGTCAGTTGGCACAACTTCGCGCAGGGAAAGATCTCACAGGAGTACGTGCTTGCTCCTACGGCTTGAAGGATTACCCATTAACTCTTGGTGCAAATAGTCCTGCGAAGCCTTCAAGACCAGGGAGAGTCTATCTTCACGTCCTGAAGCGCGAGAGCCTCAATACTCTGTCAACCTTGATTCAAGCCAAGTCTTGGGAAGACGCCAAGATGACGTCCAACAGTGCGTCTCTGGTCGGCCCTCCGGTACTCGAGTTTGCGATTTACAACAAAGTCCCGAGCGGTAAGAAGCGCACCGACCCTAGACAGGGAACGATTGACCAGGACCCCGACTTCATGGCCTTCCTCCAGTCCTTGACAAATCCGGAGATGGATAAGGAGAACGAGAACAGCGAGAATAAGGATGCGGAGGAGTCGAAGCCCGAAGCCAAGGTCACGACGACACCCTTGATTGAGTTCATCAAGGAGAAGAAGGCGAACAAGCAAAAGGAGGCTGCCGCCGCTAAGAGCGCTAAGCAGGCTCGGCAGGAGTCGAACACCAAGGGCAAGGCCTCGGCATCAAACGCGGATGATTCAAAGAAAGGCAAGAAGGACGCCAAGGGGGAGAAGTCGGCCGACAAACCTAAGGAGACGGTCAAGATTCTCACCAAGAAGGCCACCGCCGAAGCTGCCAAGGCCGCCGAAACAGTGGCCGGCCAGATCACTCAGGCCTCTTCGACCTCTCAGGATGCACCCAAGAGCCGGCGAGCTGGCATCGCGGCCGCCGCACGCATTCTGCAGAGAGACCTTGGCATCAGTCCTGGAAGTGCGCATAGGAGGGCACGGCTCGACGCTGCAAAGGCCGAGGCGGAAGCAAAGGCAACGACGAAGGAAGCAGCGCAACCCGCGGCCGAACCCGCGGCACCTAGTCCAGCACCCGTCGCCGCACCAGCTCAGTCATCTTCGGCCACTTCTCAGATATCGGAGCGGAGCACAACGCCCACCGCGCCCAAGTCAGGTCGTTCTCGCAGAGGGGGTGGCGGCAAAAATGTGGGTGCCAGCGATTCCAAGGGCAAGTCGACTGAGGCAAGCTCCACTACTACACCGGCGCCTGCCAAGGCTCCGGTCGTGTTACTCAAGAAGAAGGACGAGGAGAAGAACAAGGAGAAGGGAACCAAGGCCGACAAGGAGGCATCGAGCTCGGCACAGCAGTCAGCTGCACCAGCGACGAACGCGAAACCCAACCCCCCGACGGGCCCCAAGTCCTCGGGCAAGGGCGGCAACTCCAAGAAGAGCACCACGGCCGTCACCCCCGGCGCAACCCGCGGTTTCGTCAAGCACGCAAACCCCTCACAGGGCGTCACCGAGGCGCTCCTGAAGCAGGCCATGGAGGTCTTTGGCACTGTCACGTTCGTCGAGATCGACAAGCGCAAGGGCTTCGCGTACGTCGACTTCTCCGACCACGACGGCCTCACCAGGGCAGTCGCCGCGAGCCCTGTGCAGGTCGCCCAGGGCACCGTCCAGGTCCTCGAGCGCAAGGAGAAGAAGCCAGCCGCGCCCACTTCGAACGCCAAGTCGGAGCCCAGCAGCGCCAACGCCAACGCCAATGCCGGCGCGGCGAGCCCCAACCCTGCGGCGCCTTCGGCGTCCGCGTCGGCCAACAATGCGACGCCGTCCGAGAAGCCGGAGCACCACAAGCGAACCAGACGCGGCCGCGGGGGCGGTAAGGCCGCGGCGAATGCGTCGGGCAGCAACAGCGGCAACAAAGATGCGCGCAGCGAGCCGGCCGCCTCAACTGCAGGTACGGGCTGACGAGCATAAGAGAGAATTTTTCTTTTTCCCCCGCTCGCATAATCGACAGCAACCCGTAGCATGGGTTCCCACGTGCGCAAGTTTCCTCCCGCGACGCGCCTTGCATGAGCAGCGAGCAGGGGGGGTTGTTGTTGTTGTTGTTGTTGAGGGCCTCCAACGCCCTGCATACTTTGTGTACCTGCGTCTCTGCCCAAGACGACCCAACGGAGGCCCGCCACGAGAAAGCGATGGTAGGGAGGGGGGGAGAGACTCTCACGACCCGACGCGGCCCCGGTTCGCTGACTGCAGCCCACCCACCCCCGTACATAATTATGTCGAAAACGACGCAGCGCGGAGACCAGCAGCATGCCATGTGGTGTCTTGCAGCGGCGGCGGTGCGTCAGCTGGGGCAGTCCGGGGAATTGCTGGAGGCGGATTATTCGTAGAAGGACGAACATGGGAGGGCGACCAGAACTGTACTAGTGGCGAGTCATCGGTTCTCGCGGAGATTCAAAAAAGATATCACCAAGGGGACACAAGGTAGAAGACTAAGGAGCGTTCGTCAAAAACTTTAAGATTGTGGTTGGTGCCGGAGGATGCCGTCTATAACAGCATCCGCCGCTCGCTCTGCCAGCTTTACAAAGAAATGCCCAGTTATCCAACTTGCGTTTTCAAACAGACGCCCCCCCCCCCCAAAAAAAGGAGGGGGGAGAGGAGGCACAGGCTACAAAAAAACAATCTCTAACTTTTTTTTCGAGGAGGAACACAAGCACAACGCTTCCTCCTCCAACCGCTTCCCGGTTTACATGTAATCCATACACAAGTAACAAATGTTCAATTGGGCCAGATCAGGCTCCTGGACGGAGTCGCGCGCGCCCACCATGCGGTCCCCCAGATCGCAGCGTAGTACACAAAAACCGTGAACAACACACCCAAGAGGACACCGTCCGTCTCCCGCACCGCGCGGGCGAGCCTGGCCTTGGCGTCCGTCACCCAGAGGGTCTCGCCGGCGTCCCGCCGCGCGGCCCGGAGCCCGGGGAGGCCGTCGATGGAGGTCCGGTTGGTCTCGGCCTGGTACTTGTTGACCGTGTTGTTGTCGACGCGCTTCTTCCAGTAGAAGTCGAGGGTGGGACGCTCCTCGAAGACGGAGAGCTCGTCCTTGCGGTTGTCTTGTCCCCCGTCCTCGGGGGCGGCGTCGTCGTCTCCAGCCGTTGGTGGTGCGTAGAGCTCCTTGCGGACCATCGGGACGCCGAACCCGCAGCTCGTCTGCACTTCCCAGACCTCGCCTACGACGACGGCTCTCGTGCCGTCGTACGAGTCCCGGCCGGCCTCGCCTTGCGGGACGATGCGCTTCATCCACGAGTCAAAGTCCGGGTGGTCCCACTCGACGATCCGGCTCTTGCAGAAGAGGCGGAGGATGCGAGGCGACGGGCCAAAGGACATGAACATGAGCGTCAGGCGCCCATTCTCGTAGCTGTGGGCGATGGTCTCGCACCCGGAGCCGGTCCGGTCAATGTAAGCGACCAAGTTGGGCGAGAGGACGGCGAAGTGGGCGGAGAGGCCCTTGGGTGAGACGTTGATGTGGGGGAGGTGGGTGGGCGCCGAGGCCGTGAAGAAGACGGGCTGGCGGGCGGCCCAGTCTGCGAGGTCGGGGCTGATGGAGGGATAGAGCTTCATTTCTGTTGTTGTTGTTTTTTGCTTGTTTCGTATGTAGGTGCAGGTGTCGGTGTCGGTGTGAATGTTATCGATTGAAATACACAAAAAAGCCAAAAAGCCGAACGAGGTATATCGTCAAGCACGTGAAAAGGGGTATTGGGTATCGTATCGTGGATGAAAAGGAAAATCGGCTGGTACAAAAGTTTTGTTACAGGAAATGGGGAAAATGAGACCAAGAGGCGGGAGTCATCTCTTGAAATAAACAGATCGGTCCGGGAAACGGCCGCGTTCGCCGGGCCTTCGTGAGGAGGATGAGTCAACTAGACGGCGTCAACCAGTTGCATCTCATCCTGTCGCTCAATCAGTAAAGTCATTGCGCCCCCCCCCCGGCTGTGCGGGGACTACTCCAAGACGGTAAAGTGTAGGGCCGTCCTAGGCCCCGCACCGCTTATCGGATGCGTGCCTGGAATGAAGAGCTTCTCTGTGGCTGAATGCAGAGTGCTGTAAACGTATTTCGGCATTAAAAAAAAAAAAGGCTGCCCATGGTGGTGCGTCACACAGGGCTTGTTTTTTCTCCTGCTTTTGATTCTTTACCGGTACGACCTCCCGCGGGGAGGATCGGCCGGCAGAGGACTCGGCAGAGGGTGGAAGCGATAACTTCCGTCCTCTTGAACGTATTGCGAAGTAGTATCAGGGTAGTAATCATTGTCGTACTCCGGGTATGCTGGGCTGCGTGGCAGAGTGCTGTAAGCGGGTTCGGTGACGGTGGTGTAGACGGCCGGCCTGATGGAGTCGTGGTACGAGGTTGACTCGGTGCGTGCGTGACGGGGACGGCCCGCCGGCTCCACGGCGGGGCGGGAGGCAGCAGGACCCAAGGGTTCAATGTAGCTGCCGCTCTGTTTGCTCCGGCCCGAGCTGCTGCTGGAAGCGACGCTCTTGTCGTCCTTGTGGTCGAAGCGGCCCCGGAGGCGCTCCTTGTCCTGCTTGACGCGCTTCTCGAGCTCCTTGTCTTCGGTGGTCTTGCGCGGCTTGCTCTCGCTGCGGTGGTGCTTGGACTCGCCGCGGTGATGCTTGGATTCGCTGCGGCGCGAGTGCTTCGACTCCTTGGGCTCCTTGGGAGAAGGGGGATGGGCCGGGAGGGCCCCGACATCTTGGCCGACTCCCGAGGCGGGCTGGAGCGTGTCTTGCGAATATCCTCACGAAGGGCCTCAACCTCTGTGCGCAAGTTGCGCTTCTCGCGATCCAGAGCCTTGTTGTCGTTCTCCAGGACATCGATGGTGTTCTGCATGGCTTTCAAGCGGGCGTGGGCCTCGTGGAGCTGGGCCTCGGCGTCCTTGAGCTTGTTCCTGGTTGCCAGGTGCTCCTCCTTGAGCTTGATGTGGTTCTTCTCCAGGTCGAAGTACTCCTGGGCCGTGGGGCTCGAGCTGAAGTCGGACCCAACGCCCGAGTCGCTCGTCTGGTGACGGTGGCTCTTGGAAGTCGGGATGGTCTGAAAAGAGACCCGTTGCTCCTTTCTGTTAGCCGAAGACATGGTTGCTGGTTGTCGGCGGCCGGGCGGGCCTGTTGTCGATCAAGCGTAAATCGATTCGGTGAACCAAGTCAAGGCGCAAATGCCTTTTCGCCTTGTGCAGGCACAAAAAGGGAGGTCGTCCGTCGTTTGTATGCGCAGGATTCTATTTGAGCTTTGTTGGAATTGAAATTTTTTGAAATTCGATGTGGGTGGTGTGGTGTGGTAGGCGCGCGCGGGTTAATACAAGTCGTGGCCTTGTCGAGATGAGTCAAGTCGGGTATATAAGGGGGTGAATGCTGCCCAAGATGGGACCGGGTTCTTTTTTTGGTTTGGGAGAAGAGACGGAACCGCCGCGACCGTGAGGGAAGAGGCAAACGTGAGATGGATGGAAAGGGGGAGAAAGGAGAAGATGCGACGCCTTGGGACATTCTATTTATTTAGACACAGCACGTTGCAGCCTTCACGGAGTGTGAGCAGAGAGAGAGCAAGTCGCAGCCAGAGGGAGAGAGTGTGTGGATGAGAGGTGTGGGAGTGGATTGTACATTGCTGCCTCCGGAAGCCAAGCAGCGCAACTTTGCGATGCAAAGGGAGAACGGGTGCAGGGCAGGGGGGCACCGGACAACAACGAAAAGGGTACCTGGAACACGCCCCGAGGCCCGGGGAGATTGGCAGCATTCCAGAGGTATCGCATCGGTAGTGGCCATGTAGGGCTGGGCTGGTTTAGGCCGGTTGCCTCTTGGCGCAGTTGCGCAGTGCGCGTGTAGAGTCATCGCTCATGTTCGTATGCTACATTGCCTACCTATGTGTAGGGAGAGAGGTGTGTGTGTGTGTGTGTGTGCATGGTACCCGTAGGCAAAACGCACCCATCCGCCCGCAGCGGTTCGCTAGGCAGGATGGCGGCGGAATCGCGGGTTCATCCTTGACCAGGGATGGGATGACGAGATGGGATGGGGAATGGGTTTTCGGGGAGACGAGGGGGGAGGGAAGAGAGGGGAGGGGTGCGACGGTTGTGTTCTTGCTGCTGCTGCTGCTGCTGCTGCTGCTGGTTGATGCCGCGCGGGCGGACAAGGGTGTAGACGGGACGGGGCTAAAAGGGAGCGGGACTCGGGAAGGGGAGGCAGATTACCAGAAAGCAAAGTGGAAAAAAGAAGATGACCAGGAATCGACTCCCATTTCTTCTGCTGACTGATCCAGTCGTCTCTCGCGCCCAGCCAAACAGAAGGGCAGGAAGACGAGGAAAGGGGGGGGCATGTGGTGGGAAGCACTGCTTCGCAGACTGAAATTCTCGGTGGCAGGACAAGTCCCCATTGGCGCAGGGCCGACTCGCCGAGGCAGTGCAGGGCCAGCGAAGCCAACAAGGCAGAAACGAAACTTGTCGGTTGCCTGGTTCTGAAATTTTCAACCTGGACGCCTGATTTCGCCGCGCGTGTGTGTGTGTGTGTGTCTTCGTGTGCGTCCCGGGAAATGGTTCGCCAACGCGGATTCGGTACCCGAGAGACTGGTTCGCCCCAAACCCTGGCTTGCAAGCTTGCAAGCGGCAGGCTACGCTGCGCAGCGCTGCGCAGCGCGATGCACTTGCATCTGGACTTCGCATTTGCAGCAGAGGCGAGGGCGAAGCACGCAACTGCGTGCGCAAAGAGGTGAGGTGATGTGAGTGGCTTGCCCATCGCCATGCAGAGACCTCTCGTAGCTGTACCTGTAGGTAGGTAGGTAGATGCGTAGAACTGCCAGCTCGCCCCTCCCAGAAGATTTTGCGAGCTCTTGAAGAGACGTCGACGTCAACGGGGTCCCGCTTGGCGCTGCGCGGTCCTTTCCTGCAAGCCCTTTATGCGTGCCGCGAACTTGTTTCCTGCTCATGCCTACGGCCCCAGGGATCATGATACGCGTTGCGTGAGTAGTGCCGTGTCGGGACCAATAATCTGCAACGATCGTGGCCGAGATCGTCTTGCAGCCTAGCAGAGGCCGTCGCGAGACCCCTCGATGGCAGAGGTCACGGGGGGTGGAGGGGGGAACTTGGCCCACGCCGTGAGTCACTCATTCCCCGCTGCGTGTCTGGACCCCGCGACGAAACGCGGTTCGTTCGTGACGACGACGATGTTGGCGCCGGTGACTGAGGCCGCTGTCGCTCGCGACTCCGATTCATGCGCTCGATGCACGTCCGGCGATGGCGCGTTCGTGGTGGTGTTGGTTTTCCTCGCATCCCGCGTGTTCGTCTGGCACCGCCAATTGAGGACTCGCGCTCGGATCGGTCACTTCTCCGACACTGATGGCCCCGGGTGATGGCAGGAGCGTCGCGAGCCGCATTGCCATGGTGGTCAGGCTGTAGGTGGTGGTGGTGGATTGGATGGGATCGAGTGACGGAGAGACAAAGTGAGCTCGACGACTGGGACAGCTGCTGCGGAACCAAAACTAAGCACAGACTAACGGACACCGCCCCGCAGGCTAACGCGACAGGCAGTCCCCCTGCACGCACTCTGTCTTGACAGGCCTGTCAACTTTGACTTCCCGTCCAACTGCAAGTTCGGACGATGACGGCCAATGAGTGCCTTGGTGTCTGCCTCTGATGACTGACACACTCTTGACTAGATGTTGCTAGTGCCATCCTTTACGCCCTGCGGCCGGCGTCAACCGCCAGACTTTTAGGCGGCCACCTCACCAGGGGCTGGCGGCGTGTCCAGGCAAGAAACACACGACGGGCCAGGGCATGGTTTTGCTCTGGAGACGCGGGCAATTCACCATCATGGGCTCCAATTCTTTAGGGCTGCCAGGGGTCCGTTCCCCCCTACCTACTGTACTCGCAGAATCAAAAGCCGGAACGGCAGGCCCTTTCGAAACGCGTGGCGACACTAACCACTCGCCTCCCCCCAAACCCCTGGTCTTGCCGCCATCCAGCAAGGGTGGGATAGCCGAACGAGGGCTGCAAGTGTACGGCGTAATTTATACACTTTGAAAAAGCACCCAAATCCTTTGGCACCACCAAGATGGCAGGTACCGTGGTTCACCTGATGATGGCTCGATCCGTGGACCTTGCCTCGGGGAAAAGACAACCCTCGGCCATCCTCTCCCTCTGGCAGTGGGCAGCTAAAACGGCGACCCGGCCAAGGGTCCCCGCCGCCCTCGAACCCCAGCCCTGGCGCCTACGCCAGGCCGCAAAGCAGCGGCCGGCCATCACCGACTCACGCCCGCGAAGGATTTCACGCGTCCGCCGGCGCCCGCCCTAGCGTGAGCATTCCTTCCGCGGCTTCTGTATCTCAGTCGTACCTAGCCGTACCTAGTCGTACCTGGAAACGACTGGAAGCAGCCGGAGAAGGAGTGCGACTTTTGGCCAGCCAGATGATTTGTGCTTATCGGAGAATTCTGCGTGCAAAAGCCTGTCCCTGGGAGCCCAAGCCCGGGGCCGGCGTCCTCCCAATGACGGAATCCTCAGATCCGAGCACGCGTCTTTGGCTAGTCTTCCAGAGCAGAAGTTGCTGCAGGCAGAAGGAGCGAAGGGACCAATGATACTGTCATTACGTGAAAGCTTTGCAGCGAGCCGTGTTACAGACGTACCCGCTTGGAGAAAGGGTGGATTTCTACTCTTATTGTGCCGGTTGTGGCATGGAGGGTTCCAGTCTTTTGCGAAAATGCCACGCGAAATCTCTCTCATTCTTCATCCAAGCTCGGGCTCGGGCTCGTCTACGGCTCATTTTTCTGTCGCCAGCGCGGGTAGGTAGACAAAGTCCGATACAGAGGGTGACGGCGTGAGGAAGGGAAGGAAACGTGTAAGTTGATTTGCTAGAGCAAAGAGGTGGTCCGCTAAAGGACCCTGTCAGGGTTGGCTGTGCAGAACTTCCCATGTTAGGTACGTACCTCCACAAGCAGCAGGTAGTACCTACGTACGGAGCCCGCTGACACAGTCAGGGAAAGTGGTTGGATCCACTTGCCCTTTCCTTACCCAAGTTGGAAACTGGTTGCCTAGCACCCTGCTTTGCCATCGTCAACTCTACATGCTGCGTCTGCCCGACACATCACGGATTGTCCCGCGCCGAACCTTGAATGCAATATGTTCGTTCGAATTCCTCAGACGCACGGTGGACTACGCCCGTCCGAGTCCAGCAACGACCTCGCGATCCTCCGGCGTCCGCTCCTGTGTCTCCGTCGCGGGAGGTAGCCAGGTCAGATTCTGGCCACGTCGCTGCGCGGCGAAGGATTCGATGCGCCAAGTGAGAACCGAGTAGAGCGCACCTGATGAGCCATGATAAGGGAGAGAGGCATATATTCGGGGAGGGTATATTGGTGTGGAAAACATGTAGAGATACCGCCGTACTCAGCCGCAGACCGTTTTGGGCCCTCGTCTCACACACTGCCGTCCGCCGCGTGCCTTGCGGTAATCCCCCCCCCCCCCCCCCGGGTCTACCGTACATGCCCATCCGCGGCCCCCCATGTCCGAGTGCGGCTAAGCCTCGCACTCGACCACGACCTTGATTCTGTTTCTGGATGTTCCTCTCGCTTCACCTCGGTGTCAGCACTCTAGCCGAGGTGTGAGGTGAGAGGTACCGCGGACAACGCGGCGGGTGCGCTGCCAAAGTCCAAAAAGGACGGATTCCGAGACCGCAACCCCCGACGAGCTGAGCAGACTTTTTTCCGAGCGAATTTCCCTGGGTTCCGATCCTGCGCGGGGGTTCCGTTGGGGCAAGGGGAATAATACGAGCAAATGGTACGCGCATTCGCGCATTCGCGCGTTGGGAGGTTTGCGTCAGGGAAACCGCTGCAGCCTTGCGCTGCACACCATCGCGACGGGGCTCGGCGTTGTCAAACGGTCCACAATCTTGCGGACGCGAACAAGTTATGGACGCGGTCGAATTTCCAATCTGTCATTCCGTGGAGGACGGTCTGGAAGTGGGGGGAACAATGAGCAGCGAGGCAAAGGACAACGGGATGGCGTCATGGGGTTGCGGTGTCTCGGTTCGGAACCAGCTGACTAGGAGACCCGGTGCCGGAGTCGGGTCACTTTGACTGCGTCAGCACAACGACGTGGTCCTACTTCACCTTTTCGAGTACCAATCGTCTCCCCCCCAAAAATTAGATACAATACAACTCATAGACCATACAGTAAATACGACATTTCAGTCATCATGAGGGCTAATCTCTATTACATGAAACGAAATCAGGACGCAATGTTGAGCCTGCTGGTATCATCGGTCTATCTGGAAAGGGTCTATATGCAAAACTGGGCAGCGCCAACAGCCTTCACCCTCGTACTCTGCCATCAAAGAGACTTGTAAAAAAAAACAGTGCGTCGGATTTCCTCCGCGCACAAGCAGCCAGAGTCGTGGCAAGCACCGAGCTGCATGACAAAGGGAAGAAAAAAGTGTCGTGAGCGAAGGTCAGACCGCGGTACCTCATCCAATGACAACCCCTTGCCAGGCTCTGTTCACCTGCATGATTGATGTCCAATGAAGCATCGTCAGCCAAAGTCTATCTGCAAATCGAAGCCAATAATGACGAAGCCCGCAAATTCCAATCAAACCCTGCGTCAAACCGAGTGTTAGACTTCACCTAGTGCCATGAGCAGGATGGAAACTTACCCAACAAACTTGTCGAAAACAGATGTCCAGCCAGACGTCCTTCCTGCCAAAGAAAGATGTGATCCCAACCCCTGAAGAGGTTTTCAACCAACGCGCCCAGAGTCTACAATGTCAACCAAAAATGTACGCCCACTTCACCCCGTCCGCCATCACTCGAACCGAATGAAGCCATGCCGACGAAGAATCCGCTCGTACACCCGGATCTTCGCCTCCTGGTCATCAATGAAGCACCGCTGCGCCTCGAGATCCCGCCGCAACCTCTTGTTGTGGTCATCCACCGCGTCGAACTTCCTCTCCCACGTGAGCACCAGCCGCTTCAGGTCCTCGATGCGCTCCGATATGCCGTGGTGTGCGTGACGCGAGAGCTCCTTCACCCGCGCGATCAGCCCGTCCCGTTCCCTCTCCACCCTCCCCAGCTTGCTCTTCAGCCGCTCGAGCTCGCGCAGGTACTTGGCGGCGTTGTCGCCCGAGTTCTCGATCGAGCAGCGCAGCGACGCGTTCTCCTCCCGCAGGAGCTGGTTCTCGGCCTGCATCGCCGTGACGAGGCCGCTCAGGCGCTGGCCCTCGTTGTTGGAGGCCTGGAGGCTGCACTTGAGCGAGTAGTTGTCGCGGGTCAGGCAGTCGTTGGCCTCGCGGAGCTTGCGCTCCCGCTCCACGAGGTCGTTCCATTCCTCTCGGGATATATGCGGACAGTCGTCGCGGCAGCAGCGGTGGGGCTGCGGCTGCGGCTCGGGTTCATGGTGATGGTGGTGGCGACGGTCGTGGTGGTGAGAGCGGGAGCGCTTGAGAGACACGAACTGGTACCGGCCGTCCGGAGAGGTCTCGAGGTACCACCGGCGGGTGGCCATGCGATCTTTGCCGCAGCGATGCGGCCGAGGGATGCTTAACGGGATGCCCAGAGTGGTTTCGAGGACGAGATACCGCAAGTCGCGGTCTTGGGCTCTGATGATGGGTTCTTATATACGGATAGGGATCGTTGAGTCGTGAGCTATAGGGGAGACCTGACAGCAGCACGAGAGAGTGGAGATGGTAGAATACAAGTTGGATAGGCCCGTACGAAGAGAGATCGACGCCTTGATATGGGGATCTGGGACCAAAGGCAGCAGACCACAGCAAAGAGAGCGGGATGCAGGTGACCAGTGCAGAAGACTGAGGGTCTGAGAACGAACGAGGATTGGTGAGACAGCTGCATGACGGAGCGGGAGCGGGTAAGGCTTGATTTTTAAAGGGTCCTGTCCAAAAAGCAGTGCCCTGGCATAGGACTGGAACCAGAGTTCTGGGAAGCCATCACTAGACTAGACTCCAACGGACGCCTCGCAGAACGGCTGCGAGTCATCGGAGGTGTGGTGCATGGAGAAGAGCAAACGGGGACCACGAGGCTCAAGCGCGTGGGCGGGAGAGGCATGGGCGCCGGTTCGGTGGATGGCGCCCGTGGAGGTGTGGGACACGACGAGGAGGCGTGCGAACCGGTCCCTGAAGCTTTGAAGGGGGTTGCGTTGTATGAAGACGCCGTTCTCCTGGCGTGCCCCCCCTCGACGGTGAGGTTGTCGGGTGCCATGTCGCTGACCTAGGTGAGACCGAGCCGGGCTCAGGAGGTTAGAGTGGCAGTCATGTAGACGGCCTCACAAGTTGTGGTGCGGTGAGACTTGGGTGGTCGTTTGGTCAGGGGCGCATGAGTGGCATGTCTCACGCGCGAAGGGGGGGGCGGGCGGTCATTCGGGGCCAGCTCCGGGGCTGAGTCTCGACTCGTCGGTGGTCCATCATCTCGTTGCCTTGAGGAGCCAAAAGAGACGAACGTCTTTTCGGACTGGCATGAAACGGAAAAACAGAGATATAGTGAAGGCCCTACGCGGATTACCAAGTGTTTGCCGGAGCGTCCGAATCCAAACCCCAAGAGCGCCGGTGTGGCTTCATGGTCTGTGAATGTCGGCCATCCCCCAAGCCAGGTTTGGTGGTGGATGATGGCTACCTGGTGGAGAAATGCACTTGGAGAATTGGAGATCTGGAGACGGCACGTGGGGACGGCGCTTTGCGATAAGGGAGTGGGACCGCCATGCGGGAAGCACAGTATCTGGACTGCTTCCCTAAGAAATTTGACGAGGATCGTACTGTAGTGTCCCTGTCAATCATCGCGGCTGCGCTTGGGCGGCCTCCACATCCCACGCTTGCCAGATGGGGTACGTACCTTTCTCCTTCATATCTTAGCCAACTTCGTCTTGGGCGACCATACTCTACCCCTCCACCATCGTCACACTGCAGCAACAAGACGGAACCGTCTACACAGCCATGATAAGGCTGCCACGTAGAACTTTCTGGGCTGGCCAGGCACACCCTAAGTTGCTCATAGCATGGCCCTTATTCCTGGGAATTGTACACTTTGAAATTTGGCCTCTTCCTTCGCCGCGTCTTTCGACTGTCTTGTGTCTTGTTGGTAGGACAGGATGTACTTCCTACGACGATAAAACCTCCTAGGACGGCATCGCCGCCGGTAATTTGAGGCAACCTGAAGCCGGTGCTGTTGTTTTCGACGGCAAGTTTTGAAGCGGTTTCTTTGCTGGTGCCTTTGTTTACTGAATCCTGTTGCCTGATGACAAGGGCCTGCTTCTCGATGCCTGGTGGGTGGCAGCAAATTGCACTCGGGACAGTTGATGGTTGGGAGCCGTCCAAGGCTGAAGTCAGTCGACCCAAACACGGCCACAGCGTGAGTACCTCGCAGATGAACATGTGGTCTTTGCCTCCTTCCCAATAGCCCACGTCGAAGTTTAGAAACCCGTCATAGCTCTACTTTGCTGGAGTCACATGTAGCTCCTGCTGGATATGGATAAAGGGAATCTGTTGATTTTGCACCGTCCACTGGATTTGAAATTGAGACGGGGACCTGCTCTTTGTCTGCTATACGGCCTGCCCGTATCTGGTCTCTAGGCGTTCTTGGCATGAGTATTTCGAATGGTATTATCGCACACCGGCTCTGCATCAAGTTACGTATGTAGCGAGTTGAATCAGCGCCGAAGTTTTTTGACCTCAATCGATCGTAGGACTTCAGCCAACTGGTAATTGTGGTTACGTAGACCCAGTCGACTTGGTCGCTGGTGCCCGATCGTTTCCTACACGTTGTGGTTTCTCTAAACATTGGCATGGATGGGTCTCTTGTAGGATATGGCCTGCTCTTGATTAGGGCCCTCAAGTCAACCATGTTATGTGAAGTAGAATTCATTGTGTTGTTGTAATTGCACCGTGGGGGCTACTTCATTCCTTACAAGACCCATGATGATGCTGCAAAGTGCTGTAGTATAAACTTTCTACTGGTACCGTATTGGTAGCCAGTGCGATGCTTCCAACTCCGAAGAATTAAGTTTTCAACCTGATAACTGCAGGAAGCTGGTAAAACGGCTGGTGACTCATCTTTGCAGCCTTTCTCTCAGTTCATCACACATTCCAAGTTGACATCATTTTGCTTCGGGAATCGCGCTTGCGAAGTGGGCTCTGCATCTCTCCAGGTGGGTTGCGAGACTAGTATAAACGGTTCCATCTCCGAGAAATACCATACAATTCTTGCGCTCACTTGTGGGCGACTGACCAAATACTTCTGTCTTTTCCGGGCCTCGATCAACGTGCTGGGGGTTTCTGTTCTAGAGTTGCTGGTCCCAAAACATAGATGGGGCCACTCGAAGAAAAGCCTCCTGGAAACCATCAGAGACATGATCTTACTGCTAATCCTGGATCCAGGGTTCGTCGTTGTAAAGCACTGATACAAGACTAAGACCACCGTCTGACTTCTAGTTCTCAAGCATCACAGTTTGACTTCACTGTCCAAGTCCTCTTCCGATTCATTCGGTACCTCCAACATTCGTCGACAAGTACCTGCACAAGCTGTTCACTTCCCCTTAGGGCCCCCGTGACCCCCAAAAGTCACCTCATCCCAACAATGTTCCGTGAGATAGGCAGACCTAAAGCTAGTTGAACAAGTGACATGAAAGCAAAACTTCTCCTTTCCGGATAGCGTCGAACATCCCAAAGATCAATACCAACGACGTTCATACCCTCTCACTTCATTCTTATGATAGCATGCCTGAGTACCACTTCTGACCACCCTGCTGCCGCTGCTGACCATCTCAACTTCTCCACAGCTGACCACCGACCCCGGCGTTGGCGTTGCGGCGGCCGCCTCTGAGCTCTGGTCACGAAGCTACCGGACGACGAGTCCTTTCCACCCGGCGCCTGTCTATATATGGATAACTAACACACTGGCCCTTGTCTACAACAATCGGGGTGGGGGATGCCGAGAAGACGAATCTAGGGGCTCTGATTGCGGGCCTTGTCATCTTGCGCTCAATTTCCGGATACCTGGAAGGATCGCTGGGCATGGAGGTCGAGGGATCACGTACACATAGAACAACTCTTGCTGTGCAGACCTGATAAAAAAGTTACCGATTGTGGTCTTCATCTTGGAGTCGACGGAGGGCGTGTCTTGCGAAGTGCCAGAGATTGCCACAATCATACCTCAGAGAGGCACATACATGGTCTAAATCCTTTGGTGTCCCGCACGCTGCCTTTCCTACTGACGTTACGTTTGACACAACAAACTTCATTCAGATCACAAAACACATCTTTCAAAATACCATCATAACATGTGCTTGTGGGAGAGTCTGTAATGTAGATATCAGCATCTCAGACCACGGCTTTCCTCCATAACCCCATTGTCTTTGACACGATATGAGTAGATATATAGAACAGAGCTTCCCGGGCTTGAAATTCGTATATCATTCATGTGGTCTTCTGCTCCGCATAAAGTGCGTGCTGGCTTGCTTTTGTGTGTGTTGGGTAAACATCCAGAGACACTGGCCGTGGCCAAGCACCGTCAAGCAAGGCAAATGCGCCGCAAACACCTCTTATCCTTCCTGTGGCTCTCCGGGTCCTCCACTGTCACATTCTTGTTTCTGATCTATGGACAAGATGAAGGAGCTAAATCAAAACACGGTGATGCAGTATCAGAATGCAAATTCACAGCCAGAGTAACCGCCAACGGAAGCGCCCCAACTAAACCATATGCCTCTTCGTCTCATCTTCGATTTTTTTTCTTTGATGTTCTCTCGCTCATTGGGGGGAAACAGAATCCCGCGGTGGGCGACTTGTATGCTTCATGTTCCTTGTATGCTCAACTCAAACTCAGCTCTCGGCAGCAGCCTTGAGCTCCTCGTCGACCTGAGCTCTGACGACCTCGCGCACCTTTTGCCAGTCGTTGGTTATCTCTGTTACCCTCTTTTCCTTCTCCTCCAGGCCGACAAACTCGGTCGGCAGCACCTTCTCCTGAAAATTGAACCCGGGCTCCTCCTTAAGAGCCAGGTCGACGGCGCCGGCGAACTTGGCCGGGTGGGCCGTCGAGAGCGAGATGTGCGGCACCTCGGCTCCCGCGCGGCTGATGGACCGCTCGGATGCGGAGACACCAATGGCGGAGTGGGGGTCCAGTACGTAGCCGATTTTGTTGTAGTAGCTCTTGATGGTCTCAACGGTCTGAGGATCGCTGACGCGCTCACTCTCAAAATCACGACGGGCAGAGTTGAGCACATCCTGGTAGACCGGGCCGAAACCGCCCTTGGTCTTGAGGTCCTTAAGCCAAGCGGACACCTCCTGGCCAGCCTGCCTCTTGTTCCACTCGTCGTCCATGCCGGCGCTTGAGGCGAACTCGTAGGCCAAGAACCACAGCAGACGCTCAAAGTTGCTTGAGACCAGAATGTCCATGGCAGGGCTGAGGGTCTCCTTGACCCCGTCCTCGTGCGCCTTGACACCATCCTGAGCGAGGCCGCCAGTGGCCTCCGAGGGAGGTGCGGGCTGTTTCTCGTACTTGCCCGTCGTCCAGAACCGGTGCAGGATGTCGTTCTCGTTGGTAGCGATGACGAGCTTGTCGACGGGGAGACCCATGCGGAAAGCGAAATAGCCGGCGAGGATGTCACCGAAGTTGCCCGTAGGCACGACGAAGCGGACCTTGTCGCCAAGCTTGAAGGATTCGGAGGACTTGACGAGGGAGAAGTAGGAGTGGAAGTAGTAGACAATCTGGGCCAGGATACGCGCCCAGTTGATGGAGTTGACGGCGCCGAGGTTGTGGGTCGAGTTGATGTCGGGGTCGGCGAAGAGGGCCTTGACGATATCCTAGATGGGCATTGGTGTTAGGAGACGAGTGCCGTGTGCGGCTGTTCTGGTGTGCGACCTACTTGGCAGTCGTCAAATGTGCCGGTGACGGCAAGGTTGTGGACGTTGTTGTCCAGGACGGTAGTCATCTGGGCCTCCTGGATGGGGCTCACCCGGCCCTTGGGGTGGAGGATGAAGACAGAGACATCCTTCTTGCCTCGCAGACCGTAAATGGCGGCAGAGCCGGTGTCACCGCTCGTGGCACCGACAACAGTCAGATGATGCCTATCTGCACGACGTGTTAGTCCGACACGAGTGATTGGGGCAGTCGCTCGCAGGTAGGCTCGCAAGCCGCAGAAAGCATACCCTTCCCAGTCTTGCCCTCGTTCTTGCGCACAAGGAAGTATTCAAACAGGTTGCCGAGGAACTGTAGAGCAACGTCCTTGAAGGCAAAGGTCGGTCCGTGGAACAGCTCGAGGAGGTAGAGGTTGTCGTTGAGGTGGCGGAGCGGTGTGGTCTCGGGAGCTCTGAAGGTGGAGTAGCTTCGGTCGATGATGCCCTTGAGGTCGGCGGAGGGAATCTCGGACGGGGAGATGTACAGAGATAGGATCTTGTGGGCCAGGTCAGGGAAGGAGAGGTCCTTCCAGGATTGCCAGTCGCCAACTTGGGGGATGTGCTCGGGGATGAACAAGCCGCCATCGCTCGCAAGGCCCTTGAGAACGACCTCTTCGAAGGAGAACTAGTGGATGCGATCAGCACATGCGGCTCAAGACCCGGAATTATGTCTTAAGGGCGCCAGGGCGAGGTCGGTAGCGGGATGAGTGAGAGGAAACATGAGATGGAAGGTCATACACCGCTGTCCTCTCCGCGAGTGCTCAGATAACGCTGCGACTGGGTGTGGGTGGTGTCGACAGGCGCGGGGGCGGCGGCGGCGGCAGCGGCGCCGGTTTCGCCGTTGGTTGTACCGTTGGTGGCCATGATAACTTTTATGCGGTGAAGGGAGAAGGGGGAGGGAGATGGGCTAAAGGCACAAAAGGGGAAGCCCGATTGTAGCAAAGGAAGGGTAGATGGGGCGGGAGGGGAATATGCGCAAGACCTCGTCTCTCTGCAACTGCGAAAAGATCTTAGCAGAAAGAAGGACGGCGGTTTGTGAGCGACGCGATCGGAAGGGGAAAGAAAAAAAAAACGAGTCACAACCAGCACGTCAAGCGGCCGAAAGTCGGTCTTGTTGAGTCGGCGTCGAGTCGAGCCTCCCCGCCAGTCGTCCCCATCCTGGTCCCTACCAGTCCCGGCCACCCCTCCAATTGTTCAGTGTGTCCCACCTCTCTCTCTTTCAATCGATGCTGCAAAATTTGCCCCGCACTCCCATAGTAGCGTAAAGACTCTCGCTGAGGTGCGCGGGGTTGCCATGTCCAAGACTGTCATTCTGGCACATGGCGGGACGTCAAGCCACCAGCAAGCCCCCGTTCTTGCCTTTGATTGGCCAATGAGCCGTTCTGATAGATCCACTCTGCGTCTCTTTTCAGACTCTTGTGACCGTGCGCCTGGACTTCTTTTTCAGCTCATCGGGGGCTCTTCCAAAATGTCCAAAATGCCAGGGGCACACCGCCCCCCCTTGTGCAGCATGCAAAATGCGGCAGGCGCCTGTCGCCAGCAACCTACCCCTCCATCACCCCTCCATTACCCCTCCATATCCCATCCGTCCAGTTGCAATCGAGTCAATATCACCAGAATGCACCTGATCTCTGTCTGAAGGCTGCTGCGTGTGGCTGATAATGCGCCCAGCTGTCTTGAGACCTTGGATGAGTGGCAGCTGCTGCCACATAAATATCGCCAGGTTCAGCCCTCGTGGCGTTGGCGCTGCTGCATGGGGTGTTCATGAACGTCTTCATTGCTTACTGCCCTGTCAGAACAGGTAGCTAGGACTGTCTCTGGGTCGTCTTCATATACCATTGGGTTTTGTATTGGCCGACAAGTCACTAATCGGCTCACCATTGCGGTAATTCCAACAAATATCCCCACTCCCACCTTTAACGCCTGCTGCCCACATCCCGTGCTGGGTATCTTAAAATAGAGAGGAAAAGACATTCGCAAAGTCTCCCCAGAACTCCGGTCCCTATGCCATTCGAGCAACCGAGATATGTCACTTTCTAAGTGACTTCAGCAGTGGCGCGATCCTGGACTTCTTGCTGAGCCCGACTCGGTATATCGGCTTTCCTGCTGAAGACGCGGGTGCCGCCAGACGCTTCCTCTCGTCAGCTTTGCCCACTACCTCCGGCTTATTCTCGTCCTTGTTGACGGGTGTACTGTCAACCGCCCCTTTTTGTTCTGTTGCCGTGGTTTGCAGACCCAGTCCGTCTGAGCCGGGCTTCGGCGCCGCATTGGGTATTACAGGCTGCAGCACTAGAGCCTCGTCCCTCCCTTGACAACCATCGGCCGTTGGCGATGTCTCTACCGCAGTTCCAATCGAGCCTGGCCTTTTATCGCCCCGTCTGCCCCTGCTGGGTTTTGCTGTCTCCCCCGGTTGGACCTCCTTCGGGTGCTCTTCATCCATCGCAGCATCAGCGTGCTTACTATCGTGTGGGATTGCCGCAGGTGCCTCAGGTTCATGCTGCCCGCTTGCTGTCGCGGCCTTGTTCGCCTTCCTTGGTCGACCACGCTTCTTCTTGTTTGAATGCGTAGCCGCTACTATGTCCGCTCCTAAAAGATCCTTGGTGACATCACTCAGTTCACTGGCTTGCGGCGATGCTGAGGCCTCGGCGGTGACGGTGACGGCGACAGCGGCTGCCTCTGACTTCCTCGGTCGTCCCCTCTTCGGCTTTGGCTTGGGCGAGCTGGCCGGTGCAAGGTCCTCAACGGGGAGCTGCGCGGCTGGGCCCATATCAGCCACGGGAACTTCCATCTTTTCCAGGTTCTCGGTCTGGTCCTGCCAAGAAGCGTCGCTACCCCTCCGTCGGCTGAGACGAGACCTGTACGTTTCATGACGGGAGCCAATGCCGCCTAAATCCCAGCTTCCATTATCTTGATAGCTATCCGCTGTCTTGGGCAATCTGCTATCGGGCCTGTCCCTGTTTTGGCGAGATGGTGCAGCGGATATAATATCAGGCGATGATTGGATCTCTACCGTTGCCTCCAGATCTGATGTTGAATTGGGAAGCTCTTGTGTCTGCTCCTGAACTGTATCGAGAATGGCATGATCCGCGAAGGGCACCAGCGGTAGGCCGACCACACGCGTTTGACTTGGCGTAGAATATGCTATGGTCGTCGCCCCGCTTGAACGAGCCGTAGCTGGTAGGGTAGAGAATGGTTGAGTAGGTACAGGACCATGATCCTCTGGAGATGGGTTAACTGAGTGGTACTCGTACTCCAGCCGTTGGCTTGCGCTGAGAGTCTGGGGCTCAATGCACAAAGAAACAGGCTTCTGGCCAGAGACCAGATCAGTGAACGAGGGCACATCGGCGTCGCATGGAACCACCACCATATCAACGTCATCTTCGGCCGGTAATGACGATTCGGGGTTCTCGAGCCTCGGTCTTTTGATTTCGTGAACAGAGCCAGCATTCCTTTTTGTAGCGGGTGTGACATCGAAAGGCTGCGTCGAGCCTTGAGAAGGCATCGCAATGGCCAATGGAGAAGTAAACTCAAAATTATTCCCCCGTTTCCTCTTTTTATCGCCGCCAGGTGTTCTAGCTCTTGCGGGCACAGAATGGGGTGCCGCTTGATCGGGTGCTGGGCTGCTAGGAACATCCCACATATCTTTTGGAGTTGTACTGACGCTCCTTCCTGGTGTGCTAACTTGCGTAAGGTCTACCACCGTGGCCTTCTTCTCCTTTTTCGCACGATTGGAGCCCATTACAGGTTCGGTGATGGATGTGAGTGACGAGGTGGTCGTCAAGTCCTTTTTTGCTTGTACCTTGAGGTGAGGAGAAAGGATATTAGGGTGTTTGGACGCGAGGGATTGATCAAAATTCGACAATGCCTCATTAGCAGCCGCGCGTTGTTGCTCGGTGTAGATCGCTTGGAAGAATTTAGGGTCGGTTGAGCCAGTCGCGATACTGGCAGGATCAGAGGAACGACCTTCGATGGGCATTTTGGGAGTTGGAGGTTTCGAAGGGCTACCTCCCAGATCGAAGTTGTCGTCGGAATCATCCGAGTCCGCGATAACCCGAGCGGGCACCATTGTTGCGAGGTGGCGAGAAGTTCGCAAGATAGAAATGTCCAAGGCACGCGCCTAGCCTGGGGGCGAAGTGGTGAGAAGTACCGCCATGTACTTACTCCGAGGTAAACACACACCCCTCCAAAAGGTACCTAGCTTCTAGCCGACGCGCCCGCGCCTCTCGTAATTGTCTCGCGCGATATCACGTGACTGTCACGTGACGGTATGCACATAGGAAAGATCCTGGTCTCTCGTTCCACTTTTCCCGTCCAGTCGGAGCCGACGTGACCGGATCAGGGCCGAATCACTTGCTCCAAGTCCTGCGACATCTATTCATTCATTTGGCACGACGTTGCCTTTGTGGATTTTGGTTCCCAAAACTACATTGGCTTACTCGAACTGTCCCTACTACTCGATCTCTTCTATCCTAGGCCGCTTGGTGTTAACAGATGGAAGTGAACGATCCTGGTCGATGGTCAAGCCCGCTAATCTGCCGATGCTTGGTTCCATGGCCGGAATGTTCGAAGGAACCATGGATGAAAGTTGCCAGGCCTCCAAGCTCTCAATGACGTCTCGAGCATGCTGTTGTACCAGGCCATCGTTATCTGTAACGGCAACGTATTTGAGGGTCCTTGTGATGTCCTCACGGCTCTGGTCTGTCAATCCAAACCCGAGCCTACGACCTGACTGTTTCGCAGCATCAAGCGCCTTGACAAATCCCAGAACTACTAAGATGGCTGCACGCCGAACAATACCCTTTTCAATTTCTCGTTCCAGTGCCAGAACGTTGATGCAGAGATCCACGGCGATGGAGACTAAGTCAGGACCAATACCGGAGATGTTTGTCTCAAGGCCAACAGAGAAGACAGACAGGGCGGATGCGCGCATGCGGACGTCCTCGCTGCCCCTCTTGCTTTCCCAGCCCTCAACGATCTGGGTCAAAATTTCATTCTTGACTTGCTCCTCTTCAGTCAGATCGTCACTGAGGTCAGGAACGTCTCCTCCCCAGGCGTCTTCGGCCTGCTTCTTCTTCATATCCCGGAGTCGCTGGTCGCGACCTTGTTTAGCTTCTGTCTTCGGCCGGTGCCCTCGTCTTCCAGCAATCGATAATAATGTCTCGGAAACTCGCTTTGCGATATCGCCGGCAAAGGTTTCGCCAAGGCGCTCGATTACTTGAACCAAAGCCTCTCCAAATCGTAAGCGGACATCCGTTGTTGACGTCTCCTTGGCATCCAAGTAATGTTCAAGAAGTTCCTGCGTGGTTGCCTTGGGGTGTTTGCTAGCCAGTTGTATGAAGAGCTTCACGATTCGGAGATTGATGAAATCTTCACTGTCTTGAAGCAGAGACGAAAAGAGAACGAGGGTGGCCTGCACATCCAGGACATTACTGTTGGAGGCCACTAGACCGGATATGAGGTTGAGGCCCTCCGAGCGGATTGGCGGAGGATTGTCTGCTTGAGTAATGTACTCCAAAGCAAGCTTGTATGTCCTTCTGTCCTCAACTTGCCTATCGGTGGGCACGAAGGCATCTTCTTCCGCGGGATCGATCGCTTCACGATATCGAAGTAGAAGCGTAAGGTTCTTTGCCGTAGGAGACACCTCTGAGCGCTCTGACTTGCTAAGTATATCCAGTGACGTTTCAAGACTTTGCAAGACCTCAGCTTTGAGGCTGGATCTTTTGAAATTCGGAGCCGTGATAACTAAGTTGAGCAAGCTCAAAGCGACTGCGACAATGTCATCCGGCTGGTCTTGGATGGCGCTGGGATCTAGGATTTGACAAGCAAGCTCGTAGACTTGCGTGACACGGCTGACTAGCTTGTCTGGAATCCGTTCCAGCATCTTCTGCAGAATTGTGATCTCCAAGAGTTGAGTAATCTCGTTGCCAGACTGGCTATCTTCTGCCCGAAGCAACACTTCCGTCTTTTTGGCCGACTTCGTTGACTGGAGCCATCGCCCAAGGAGTTCTAAGAAAAAGGAGGATATCTCCTCTGGTGTACAGCTAGCTGTCATGAGTCGCATGAGGGACTCGGAGCGAACCTGTATCTCGTTCCAGTCTAATTCCGGCAATTGCGGGCCATGGCCGAGAGGGATAGCAGATATTTGAAGGTGACCATCGGAGGTTGTCTGGTACCGCCATCGGGGCGCCGTCATCAATTCTCCTTCGTAAAGCAGGTTCTCAATGACCAGATGCAGCTTAGACACTGAGACACTCAATTTAAGGAAAGTGTGAAGCAATGATCTTGCTGGCTTTGAGTAGCGCTCTTCTGTCTGCTGGTTTCCCTTGCTCTGGCATGATATCGCCCACAACTGTGGAAGAACTGGATCGAGCATCCTCTTGGTCTGCGCTGGGTATGGAGTGGAGTTGATTAACGAAGACATACGCCGAAGGGTTACGAAGATTTCGTCTGCCGGAACCAGGACAGCCTTTTCACTCAGATCCACGAAGTCGGTTCCCTCTGTTTTTCCGCGCCCTGCAACGCCTGTGCCTTTCCGAGAAGGGTTCAAGTTGCGCAATAGAGGCTCGACAAAGACATTCCAACCTGGGGATCCTATATCAAAATCAGCATGGCGATTGATGGAACGGCAGTGGTGTTATTACCGGGTGAGCCGAACTGCTTCCTTCCCAACACTCCAAACATGATGATTTGTGCGGCAGCTGTACTGAGCTCCGCGCCTTCATTTCCATCCAACAGCGCGATCAACTGGGGTGCAACCTTGGAGAACCAGTCTTCGGGCAAAATAGTCGCAGGGGGCGAGGTGATGATGCGAGTAACCACAGCCATAGCCTCTTGAGTAATATTGGCGCCTCTCTTTTGGGGAGTGGCTACCTCAGATGCTTTCAGGGTGCTGCTTGGATGCACGGAGAAGATAAATTCCATGGTTCCCCGAACACCATCAGGCCGAAGCGGAACCAGGGTCAATATCTTCATTAACTCTGGTCGCAGCCATGTCGGCACAATATTTGGCTTGATCAATGCGTTCAATACAGGAAGCAGGCTCCAGGACCCATTCCTAGACCCTTTGTCAGAAGATTCCGCTTGCCATTTCACTGGTTCGCATCCACATACCCATCAATGAGCTGCTGGAACTCCTTTCGAGCAGCTTCCTTCAAGGCGGGATCGGCCGAAGGATCGAACGCCCTTTTCCCAGCGTCGAGAATTTCGTCGGCTAGCTTTGATTGGCGGTCTTTTCCAGGCGTATCTGATTCCATTGCAGTGATGATATGATGTCGATACTGTAAAGGTTCTCTTCATCCAGTCTTAGTAATTGATACCTAGATGAGAGAGAGGATGCAGGTCAGTGCGTCGGGCATTACAGTGTTGAGCACGGCTTTGGGCACGGTGGCCGTCATCTTGTCTGCACGTGCCGACGCGCTCTTGCGACCCACAATTTGATTGCTCGCGTAGTAACGCGTCGCTTTCCTCCCTGCTCTTTCCAGCGTAACACTAGATCTTTGACTTCACCTTTCCACTCCGTAAATGCTCTCACCAGCATATTTGTTGAATGACAGCGCTTGACGCATCTCAGCCGCAGAATCATACGCCTGATATTCGGGATATTCCGGAGGACAGTTCGAGATACGAGCTTGAAGACCAGCTGTCGACGTTCTTGTCGCAATCGGAAGAAAGCTTTCTCGCCTATGTCGGCTCAAACACGCACGACACCTCCCCTTCAGTTCTCCGACTCTCGTTTTCCGCGAGGAATGTCTACCGCAGACCTCTCAGCAAGGGCTGACAATTCACGATACGTCGCATCCGAGCCTGTATCAGGACCTCGTGCTTGCTGCGTTTGGAGCTATTGTGATCTATGGTTGTCTATACCAGACAATGCAGTTCAGCTGAGAGAATGAGTTTCGGAACTTAACCCTAAGTAGCCCTTTGGTTCAAGTTTTGCGTCCGCAGTCGTCGACCCTACCTTTTAAACCCGCCCGGCCTGCCGGTGATGCGATCGCCGCTGAAAAGTGGTGAGGCTTGCCGAGGGCTGCGGTGGGTGGACCGGCAGGGAACACATTCCAGTCACCATTCGGTGCGCGAAAGGGGGTTACTATGAGTCGTTTGGGTAAGAGCCTCTGGTCTGAGGCCGCTCGTCAGGACTCATCCGCTGGAACCAGTACTTTGGCCAAGAGTAGGTCGCTGGGAGTCAACGGCAGACATGGCTTGTAGGGTCGAGCTGGCAACGATTTGCCTTTCCGGGTTCTCGTCGTGCCCGCTTACTGGGTTAGACTCTGTGTCAATTGGAGTGGGAGAAAGAGCTCAGCGTTGGTCACAAACAGTCAGTATCGATCTTTCAATACGCAATCTGCCTCAGTCTCGCCTTGCTGGCCGCACGATGGTGTTGCGAGGATTCCTAGGCCTACAAACAGAAACTCGTCGGTCTGACAATTCCTACCACGCTCAGCTCTCGGCTCTCACCACTCCAATACACGACCCTGGACTTACTTGGCAGACAAGAGTTGCCAGTATCGAATCCTGCAGCCAGTCAGCTCTTCTCCGAGCCACACCACGGCACTTGCCACCGGTGTGACATGCTTGCATGTGATCTGGTCAGGCGCATTAACCTTCAGTCGTGGGCCCTGTCCCACGACATCGGAGGACGCCAAATCCCCGTTGTTCTCTTGTAGGGATCAACACTTGCCCGATTGTCTCCCGGAAACGGGGTCAATGGATGAGAGCGCGGTTTTTGTGGACGTCTTTTGTCCGCGCGGAATGCCCTCCTTTGCGAACTGTCGCCGGAGAGGAAACAAAAACCAGTCCTAGGAGGTCGTGCGAACCAAACAGAGCGAGCTTTCCGATTGCTTAGGACTATACAGAACTGGGACTCAATTCGCCGAACCCGGGATGGCTGTGTAGATGATGGCTGTGCTTTGCGACGAGCAGAGGCATGCTAGGCAGCCCCGCGAGACCTTGTGATGGAGGGGTTGAACTGCTGAACAAGTGTCAAGCGATCCCGGGACCCATCTCGTGTTGGTGTCAAAGCTTTGTGCTTGTCCGGGAACGCCGAGGACATGGGATGCTAGTCTTTCCCCATCGCTCAAGGTTTGCGTACTTGTTGGATCAAAAGGACAGGCCATTGGAAGGTAGTCCTGGTTGCCGTCTCTCTAGAAATGGCGAGATGGCGACCCCCTATGGACGGGGATAAGTCAGCCCCTGGATCTCGAATACTTTTGATACAGGTGCTAACTCGTGTCTAGAACCATAGACAACAATTCAGTCGGCGTTTCGGGGCTGAAGGACAAACTTGACACATGAATTTCCGGAGCCTCGGCAAAGTCGCACAACACTCATTTGCAACGGACATCGGGAGAACCTGGTCTAGACCATGGTACGGAATATTAACTCATGAACCTTTTCAAGGTGCCCACGGATGAACCTAGAAATATACATTGCGCGATAGAGTTAAGACGTTATGTTCAGAGCATTCCACTTCTCGGTTATAACTAGTATTGCAACACGCCGGAATCTTCGAAGCGCTCGGTAGCAGGGGGTGCTAGCGGCGCAGTGGCCCCACCCAAGAAGCTTGATTCGCTGTCCCGCTGTAGATCTGAAACCCACCAATGTGTCAATCCCGGTCCTAGCTCCCCAGCCTCTTGACGTCACTACCCAGCTCTACTAGGAACCGGCGCCCAGAACAGGGTTATTGATGGGTACAACAGTCAGCAAACAAAGAGGCAACGTCGGTGATCATGAGACCACCTGCCGGTTTCCCTACTTTTCTCTTTTTCCTTTCCTACCACGAGCTTCGTCAAGTGAGATCTTCGTGTTCCCTTTGTTCGAATCCAGGTTGGTACCTCGATTGTTGCAATCCTCACGTTGCCTAGCCGACGCCCAGAATTGACATCATCGTCGTCTTGCCGTCGAGTGTTCTTCAACGGTTTTGCTAAGGAGATACCGATTCGCCATGGCCTTGCTTCGTGCATCTCTGCTGCCGCTGGCACTGTTGCAGACTGTTCTCGCTGCTCCAGCCGACCCTGCTCATCCTATGATCACGCCACCACCAAGCCGTGTGAAGCGTACCCCCGATGTCACCGATGATATCGGCAGCTATGTCAACAGCGTCATTGGAGGCCTGGGCAGCGATGTGTCGTCCTTCGTCTTGTCCGGTATCCCTCAGTACTTTCAGGGCCTCCCGACAGGCACCCAGGTACTCAGCTCTCTGGGAATCAACGATGGTGACCTGGCTGCACAGCCTACTCAGGCCTTGAATATCCCGTGAGTATCGCGATGGTGAATTCAGTTATACCGAACGCGCTTGCTGACATGGACTGCACAGGGCTTATGGCAATTGGACTGACGAGGGCTGGAACGTCCGCGTGCATGGCAACATTTACAAACAGCCCAACATTAGTCAGTCGAAGGTTGACGACTTGGCTAATATTTTCCTCATCGACGTCGACGTTGCCGATTTGCCCGCCGACCAACAAGCCCAGGCACGCAACGTGACCAAATCCATCTTTGTCGTTCAGCAAGACGATCAAAACGTCACCGTAAACTTCGTAAACGATGTCTCTGTGCGGCCTGGGGCGAGTGGAGGAGCCGTCAATGCGCGTGGTGGTGCCCAAACAATCAACATGCCCTACCTGACTACCAGCGAGGGCGATTTTGACGCGTTCGTCAAGCTGCGCAACACCACAGGGTCGAATGGTGGGCACTTGCTTCCAGGCAACGCCACCGAATCGATCCAAACCCTCAACATGTACACGAACGGTACTAACAGTGGCAACGCGACTGCGTACCTCGTGCCTCCTCAGGGCCTGACGATCGTGTCCGACATCGACGACATCCTGCGCGTCACCAAAATCTATGAACCTAAGGAAGGCCTTCTCAACTCCTTTGCTCGTCCGTTCACGCCTTGGATGAACATGCCCGATATTTACGCCAATTGGTCCGCGTCCATTCCAGACTTCCATTTCCACTACTTGACGACAACTCCTGAGCAGGTGACTCGGAATTACATGGAGTTTATCTACAAAACTTACCCTCTGGGTAGCTTTGATACACGTCCGCTCAACTTTTCTGATGTCCAAGCAACCTTGTCTATCCGAAGATTCCTGCTCGACAAGATTTTCCAGACCTTCCCCGAGCGGAAATTCATCTTGGTGGCCGATACTACGAATTCCGATGTGATGAAGGCGTATCCCGCAATGTACAAGGACTACCCTGGCCAAGTCCAATGTATTCTGCTGCGAAACACCAGCGCTACCGATTCCGGCAATAAATTCCCCTACAATACAGAGGGATTTAAGGACATCCCTCAGAACAACTACATGTTCTTCACGGTGCCGGATGACCTGACCAATCTGGATATCGCCAGCGGTCAGTGCTACAATGCTACAATTCCGCAGAACGTCACTTTCAAGACCCAAGGTCTGCCATTTGGATGGGGCAATGCAGCTGGATCTCTTTCGCCGCCCACTACGTGGGCAACGGCTGTTGGTCTGTTGGTCATGGGAGCGGCTGCTCTGCTGTAGTTTTGACAGGGTTAAGTGGTAGGTTTTGGATTGAATTGTAGCAATTTTTAATGAAAGGAAGCCTGAGTACAAAACTGCGGTCTTGGCTCACATATGCTTCATTTCTTGTTTGCGGTGTGGATAGACGTGATAGTAAGGACTCTGCAGCAGGCAGCCCGAGTGTTTTGCTAGGCAGTAGATCTCACAAGTGCCAATCAACGTCCTTCGGAACCGATACCGTAAGCCAATGGCCAGCCAGAAAATGATTCTTTACACCCTTGTCCATCCAGATACCACACGTGTCGGTCGAGATGTTGCCACAACGTCATTGGTCGCTAGAAACGTCATTGGTCGCTAGAGATAACCTCGTGGTGAACAACTGCGGATTGATACGGGAGCAGAGAGGATCCGCAACTTACAAAGTGGCAACTACCAAGGACTTTCTGCCACAGCCTGTTTGGATGCGGTTAGCTTCCTGCAGCTCTCTTATATCCATCAATTTATCCACAACGTGTAGAGGTACACTTTCCGAGCCCTCTCCGTCCTCCTAGCTCGAAATCACAGACCCGCTCGATTGGATTGACATTCGTATAGATGCGTTGGTTCTGCAGGTGATTCTTTTCGATCCTGATGCGTCCTGGGGTTGCCCAGCGGACATGGGGGATTCATCTTCATAGCACGGCATACATGGAGGTCAACCTGATGTACTAGGGTTGCAGGCCGAAATCAAATGCCCCCTACCAGGTACACTTTCCCACCCCCAATACTCAAAACCAACACTAGAAGATGTATCTGTGTTTATGTCAGCCATTGGGCGTGTATGTGGGTCAGTAATCAATCAGGGGCATTTGACTTACCCTTGAGACCATAGTATCAACGAGGGGTTCTTGGCCTGCCTCGAGTGGTGGCAGTGATTGCATATTGCCATCTGACAGGTGGCGGGCGCCGAGCGATTGTGATACTTGCTGTTCCAACGAGGTTTCTTGGGTCATTTGCCTCCGGCCCAACGGAAACTAACCCCAGGGATTAGGGAGAGAAGGGGCCTGCTTTCGAAGCGATCATGTTGGGACGCCTCCCGCCGCCACGACGTTGGACCTGTAGATGCCAGTGGCTAGTATTAGCCGTGAGGGACACGACTTTCAACTGGCTGGAAGGGGTGAGAGCCTCTTCGACGGAGGCGCGGACGTTAGTAAGAGGGACGTCGAACAGGCATCGTCTGGGGACTGTACACAGAGGGTGGAGGCGTGCCAAGATCGGACGGGGTAGAATGCCACAGGGCGAGAAGTGACGGTGTGTAATGAGATGAGTTTGAGATGAACAATAAGCAGAGACGCCCGCGGTAAGGTTCCACTACCCCTTGCACAGGCGAGCTGGTGCAACTGACCTTATCACCATGTGTAGAACTCGGCTGCAGAATGCAAGAGAACCGGGTCCTGGGATAGAAATCGCGAGATTTTATACGAATGGGTTTGGGATGAGTCGCGCTAATAGCCCGCATGGGCTAGACGTCCTTGTCGAAGTTGACAACGGCAGTGTTGGTAGCCCGTAATCTCATCACATCCCACTGGTACTCGCCACCTCACGCATCGGGCGGCTACCCGTCGAGACTGCGATACTCCGTCAGGGCTCGATACTTGACTGTATTTCGGTACTCGGCCCCTGATGTGCCGGTGACCTGATTGCGAGCAAAGGGCCTGAAGGGGGCAAGATGGAAAGAAAGACCTTGGAAGCCGCAGGGTTGGGGTGTCCGGACCCGGAAGCCGACTCCATTCGGCCGCATGTGGTCTGTGTAACCTCTTCATTGTGTGATTGTTCATATCGTTCTATTATCATTATGATTGATGGTTAAGAAATTGCATCCGTTCCCTGGCACCTCAACGCCCCATGTTGGCGACGTTGGCTTCTCCGGTGCAGCGTCTGTCTGTCTACATGGCGCATCACAGGCTTACGCTGGTTCCTGTGCAAGTTCAGCCAGACAAGATCGCTTCCGTCTGCATGGCTCCTGCCGGGAACACCAGTGCGGACTTCTCCATTCCGCACAAACGCCGTCCCGAAACACTGCAAACCAACCTCGAGCATGGTGGACACTGCTGCAGGTGCAGGTGCTGGTGCTGGTGCACCAACGCCAGATCCGAGCTGTCGCCATGGTTCGGATTCGGCTCGGTCCATGTCGTGTAACCGGTGTCAGCGGCCAGCTGATTCGGCCCAGCATCGGATCCCTACCCATCTGGCGTTTATTTCTTTTATTTTCTTTCTTGACGGGCATATCTCCAAGCTGGCTAACCAGATTTATGCCGCTCCTTAGCCTGTCTCACCCATGGACACCGCATAGTAACGAAGCATCTCCGAGTCATCCTCCGGGCATGGATCGCCGCATTGTCTGAGGTCCTCTAGGCAAAGTTGAGGATTATACAGTAGTACTCTTGGTAGGCAGCATCTAAGCTGAGGCAAACGGCAAGAACATTCATTTCCAGTGTGGCCTGAGGTCTGAGGTCACCTATGGCTCGGGGGTACGAAGCAGGCGCCTTCTATTCCAGGACATCCTTGCCATGCATGTCGTTGCATATCCAGCATGCACTTCCAGCCGCTTTCTTTCCACCATTAACCGACTCCGTCCAACAACACCAAAGACCACCTTCGACCTTGACATATGGCGAATGACTGTCAGACGAGGCCGCACCTGCCAGAACCCTTGTCCAATTGTCGACACCGCTTTCTTGTGTAAGAGGTCATTCTCGGGTGTCCTTTCTTGCCACCCATGAGACGGCTTGGGGCCTCTCTGCCTTGCACAGAAAGCATGCGACTTGTCACAAACAATGGGTTGTAAGCCACACCAACGACCTAGCCGACGGCGACATCGCCTACAGGTCTATCCTGCAGCCGTAATCGGACAGCAACATGCCCAGAACCGGCCCGGGGAGTAGCGAAGGTGGTGTTTGGAAGCCATGAGGAGGCGACATGCCGGATCCTAACGCCAGACCGCCAAATGCGTCTTACGCACAGAAGCATGTCACCATTTCATGGTGACTCTCACCAATCATGTCTTGTCAATTGAGGTCATCCCATCCGTACACCGACTCCTCACCTACAGTTCCCCTTGACCTACCCGACCTGCCTATCTACCGGCCACGAGGTACCCTCCCTTGCCTCCCTGACCCTTCGCTGCAGATCGCTCATGAGTTAGCTCGGATCAAATGTGCGCTGGGTGGTACAAACCTGTCGGAATCAACGCCATTAGCCCGCTAGACAACGTCAACGCTTGGCAACCGGTTCCTCCACTCCTGTGCGACGACCCTTGACCCTTTCAAGTCTTGTCGACATGCGTTTGGAACGCCGTTTCTGCTCTTCCAGCAATGCGAATCAGCGCTTACAGGCGTCCCTTGCTTGAACAAGTAATTGCTATCTCACCTTGTTCGACTTGGTTCAATGCAACACATGCGCCCTATTTCGACCGTTGTCGGTTTCGATCCACTCACCCAGCCGCATGCAAGCTGCCGACGACATCCTGCTGACAATGTCTCCGCCCAGCGCCGACTTGCTGGACGACACCCAGTTCCATAACCCCGCTGAACCACGGCTTAGTACGTGTGTGATTAACGGTCAACTCGAATTCGAGGTTCAGTTGTCGACCCAGTCAGTCGATTTCCCACCCCACGATCTCAGACCAGGATCACGATGACAATCGTTGCACCGATATGCAAGCCCACGCGCGCCCCTGCACACTTTCCCTAGTCTAGTGGTGGCGAGTCCCTTTTGTCTCGCCGTTGGGCGTTTCTTTCGGAACCTAATCAATATTCGAAATCCCGCTTGCCGCCGGTTCTCCTCCATTGCGTCTTCTGCGGAATGTCAGGTTGGAGCACTTCGAACTCGGGGAACAGGTGCAACCAGGGACGCGCATGATAGCGCAAGGTGCTGTGCAGTTTGCCTTCAACCATAGCGTCCTGTATCTAGGCACACAACCGTTAAGGTATGAATGTCTGCACTCCCATTAATGTGTTCAAGAGATGTGGGTAGTTAGTGCATTTTATTACTGTCTACCGATGAGCACCCCATAATGCCGCCGACTGACCGAACATCTCGCTCGTGCTAACTTTCTAGAAAGATGCGTATAGGCTGCGGGACTTGGCCCAAGACCTGCCGTTCTTGACCTTCAAGGCGACCCTCCTGACCATTCCCTCAGCTTGAATCAGCTGGGATACCTAAAAGTGTATGCGAGGGCGTCTGTTTCGCACTGGATCCAAGCAGCTCCGTGGTCTCTCACGACGCTGATCCAGGCAGTCTCTTGCAGTCTTATTGCAGACAAGGCGAAAATTAATTCTCTGCTGAGACTTGGAAGTCTACCGGTTGTACTGCTTGCCTCATTAGCATTGATTAGGGTGTCCATTGACTTTGATGGTGCTTACCACGACGCAGTCTTCGCACCTCGCACCGTGGACATTGACCCAGCCCGGACAATCGACGCCGTGCTTGTATCTGTTGACGCAGGGGTATCGGTCCATATTGAAATTGCTCGAAGGAGAACGAAGAGTCTGGTGGTGTCCAAAAAGGGTTGGGACTTGGTTGCTTGGTCGTTGTCTGTGTTGTTGTAAAGAAGGTGAAGCATGGTTGGTAACGAGATGCACGGGTACTCTTTATACTTGCAACCGTGACTGCGGCTGCTGACCGCAGCCAGAGATGAGATGACCACCTCTGGTTGCGCCCTGCAAGGTTGCAGGATAAACGTCTCAAGGACGTTGAGTTGGTTGCAAGATTGCATGCTGACTGCCCGCAGGCTGCTAACTACGGCAGAAGGCTCAAAGGGCGTGATGACTTTCCACAATCAAGCACCATATTACCCACTTAAACACCATACATCTGCAAAGCGTACCTTCGGCCGTCGCTCGGGGATCATTTGCAGACAGAAGACCATTGCGGATTGGCCCTCTCAATCAAGGTGGCTTGCATCAATAGAAACGAGAAAAATGAAATCTGACACCAGAGTTGCAGCTATAGGAAAGCACCTCTTGTTACCCGGCCTTCCC